CCCCCAAAGAGAGATCCGGCAAGGGCACAAACACAGTGACATCAGGTCCCATCGCAGCAACCACCACAGCCACGGCAGTCCTCGAGCCAAGCGTCGACACGACAACAGCGCTATCCGACGACAAGGAACTCGCAAATCTTGGTTTAACAGACTTGATCTTTAGTTTGGCTGAGTTGAGAGGCCCATTCGCCCCCTTTCAAAGTGCAGATATCACGTTCCTTGCGTCCCTAGTGTTTGGTTCTTTTGGATTTGGGGCGACCGAATTATTCCGACGATCCTTTACAGAGATCTTCTATAACGATGCTGGTGGTGGTAGTGGAGGAGGTTCTGAGGTTGTGCTCTTGCTAGCAGCAGGCTTGGCAACGGTTGGTAAGCAACAAGTGCCGTAACATCGTGTCGTCGCTTTGATCATTGTGGACTTACTTGTTTCCCCTTCCTCCACCTTTCAAGTCACGAGTGCTGCAGCTACACCCTTTGAAGTGCTGAGGGTCAAGAGTATGATAAGGCTGGATTCCGTTGGCTGGACAGAAGTACTTCAAACGTTCCTGGTATGTTCTCCTTCACCTGACGACGCACTGCTAACGAACCTTGCTCACCTAATTTCCCACCGCCTGTGATAATATCAGAGGGAAAACGAAAAGCAAGCAGCAAAAACGGCAGCAAAAAGAGTTCAACGCAATGAAGGAGGCGATAGCTCTGGCTTGGAAGACATCAATCCAAAAGATCTGCTCCCTCTATGGTCCGGGTTTGCACCGACACTCTCGCGAGAACTTCCTTTTGCCATTGCCAAGTTCCTTGCTTTTGATGTTTTGGCTCGCTTAATAACAGATGTAATCAACTCTCAGACGCAGGAAGGAGCTCTTCCAGTTCAAGTGGGTGTTGGTCCAGCTGGTTTGGCTGTGTCAGCCATTGCTGGAGCTGTAGCGGGAGTGGCGGGGGCCATCGTGAGCCACCCCGCAGATTTAATATTGACCTACACATCTGCGTCCAAGGCGCAGGATGATGACGATGAATCAGGAGCTGAAGCACTTAACACCTCAACACCTGCGTGGGTCTCCGTGGTGCGCGATCTGCTTTCACGAGACGGAGGCATTGCAAATCTGTTCTTGGGACTACCGGCTAGAGCCACTTTCTTCTTCTTGGTGATTGGTCTCCAATTTTTTCTTTACGACTACGTCAAGAACCTCTTCCAGGTGGGGACTGATGATCTGAGCCTTGTCTTGGATGTCTTCTACGCAGTTCGCGCCGGTTTGCTTGACATGGATTAAGTGAAAAGGTTGCTTGAGCTCACGCTGAATAACTGCAGTGAACTAAAGAGATCCACTCTACTAGCTCAACTAATCCACTGCACACTTGTAGCTAGCACCGAGTTTTGTAAAGGCAGTTTTGCCCAGCTATTGGTGTTACCGGTACTCCGTGGAAGTAGCGCAGTGCAATGCCGTTGAGGTAGCGCAGCGCAATTCCATTCCAAGTTAGAATGAATGATGGACTTTTGGGGTCATCTCTGGCTCCCCAATGAATGAATGACGCTGAGCACCGCCTACCAACACGAACACATGCAGTCTTCTGGGCAAGCAACTTCCTCCCAGCAGTCCACCTGTAAACTACTCAACTCCCCATTGGTGGTTAAGGCACATACAGTTTCAGGCACGCTTCCAACCAAATCATTTAGTTCGAGCCACATATTGGACACTGTCCAAAGCAATCCTAGCTCAGGTGCAATTGTACCTGAAAGCCTGTTGGACCCCAGAATGAGGTCCGAAAGGCTGACGAGCATCTGCAGCTCTGTTGGGATAGGCCCCGTCAAACTGTTTTGGGAAAGAATCAAGTATTCCAGGTTCGTCAGCAAGCCAACGGTAGATGGATACGGCTCGACAGTGCATTATTGTGTATTCTCAGGTTTGTCAAAGCAGTCAAGGCGCCAATGTCAGATGGAATAGGGCCCACAAAGAGGTTTTCTGTACAATCCAAATTCTCGAGAGCTGAGAGTGATCCCAATGGTCCAATGGTACTGGAGAGACGATTGTGACTCAGAGTCAGCTCCAACAAGTTTGTGAGCATTTGCAACTCTGTTGGTATAGGCCCGGTCAAAGTGTTCTGGGAAAGAATCAAGGATTCCAAGTTCGTGAGTAACCCAATGGTGGATGGAATACGGCTCGACAGTTGATTGTTGTCAAAATTCATGTACTTCAGTTTGGTCAAGAAGCCAAAAGTAGTTGGAAGACGATTGGACAACTGATTGGTGTTCAACTGCAGATGGGTAAGCTCTGTCAAGGCACCAATGACCGATGGAACAGGGCCCGTCAACAGGTTTCCTTCGAAATCCAAGCGAGTCAACTGCATCATCAAGCCTAACTCCGAAGGGATTGACCCGTTCAATGCAGTCTCATACAGATCCAAATATGTGAGCAGCGTAAGCATGGCCAATTCAGTCGGTATAACATTACCAAAGAAGTTGTAACTGCATACAAGGTCTGTGAGCATTGTCAAAAGTCCAAGTTCGCTGGGCAGCACACGGAGTTGGTTTCCCGAAAATCCCAGCCAATCGAGATTAGTGAGAAGGCCTAGTTCACTTCCAACAGTTCCTGTAAGGAGATTTTCTCCAAGCTCCAGAGATGTCAAGGCAGCCAAACTGAAAAGCTCACTTGGAAGGCGTCCACTGAACATGTTTCCGTCAATGTCAACACGTGTCAACTCGAGCAAAAGGCCAATGTCTGAAAATACAGGACCCGTTAACTGATTTCTATCCGCATCGAGGATAGTCAGCCTGGTGAGTCTTCCTATCTCTGTTGGTAGCTTGCCCGTGAAAGAATTGACACCAAGGTACAAGCCTGTCAATGATGTCATTCCACCCAAGATGGAAGGGGGAAGTGTGCCTGACAGTTGGTTGTAGATGACCGAGAAGGACTTGAGCATTGGCATGTACCCCAGCTGGTATGGCAGGACATCTTCCAGCTGTCCACTCCACTGTGATTCTTGGATTTCGAAGGTTTCCATTGAGGCAAGCAATTCCACTTCGGGTGGTATGCCGCCTTGTAATGGCAATCGAAATACCACCAGTTTCAAGGACTGGACCCGCCCACGCTCTGCTCCCTCGTCATAACACTCAATCTGGTGAACACTATCAAATCCACCTGCTGGTTGCAGCTCCAGCGTCCACTCGCACTCATCAATTGATGGATTGAGCCACCGCTGTCGGTCCAAGGGATCCCAGTTGTCCCCATCAAAGCCATAGTAGACGGTCGCCAGAGCAAACAATTGCTGTGTCCTCCATTCTGGAATCGACAAAAGTTTGTCTTCAGTGAAATTCGACGCCAGCCACGCAAACGCTTTGGACTGAGCTGTGGACGGATCCGAGAGCATGGGGACGGTGTAGTTTGGCAAGAGCACCTCGACTCTTCCCAAAACTGGCACTGACACGGTTGGAGACACAAGTTCCACAGGCCCACTGCTGGTGGGTGCGGGGGTAGGATCAATATCACTGCTACCACCACCACCACCACCACAATTGCCCGTACCACAAACGGCTCCCACAACGATAGTCGTGATTATCACGATTGTCAAGAGCGCACAAAGTCCAAAGCACAACCGTGCTTTGCGCTTGCTTTCTGGTAGATACTTTGCCAGTCCTTCTTTTGGTTGCACAATTTCAGCTTGAGGAATCATGTCACGGTCGACTTCTTCCTCATCAGGGACGAGACTAGCTTCAACCAGGTGAACATCTTGTGGTTGCTGTTGCATCGTCATCAGCAACTCATCTGGAGGCTCTTGCTCCAGCAAGGGATGATGGCTGCTCGTTATGTTCTCGTCGTCAAAGTAGTCGTTGTTGCTGACAGGTACTATACTGACATTTGCTTCGTCGTTCTCACTGTTGTTTCTGTTTCTTGCCCCTGCTGCCGCTGTTGGCGCGGATGCTATTGTACTATTGCCAAACTTTTCGTGGGGAAATGCTTGCCGTTGTGGAGTCATTCTCGATAGGCCCTTTCGTGCCTCTGCGGGAGACTGACCCACAATCATTCCCGGTGGAACCAGATCTGGCATGGGTTCGTTGGTTGTCGAGTTCCGGATGTGTTGGGCACCAGCACGTTCAGCTCTTTTAGCTCGTCTCTTTTTGTTGCTCTTGGAGGCTCTATTTGTGTCATTGGTAGATCTTTCTTTGGTTGAGCTTGGACGACGAGTACTACTGGTGGACGAAGAATGGGCCATTCCACTGCTATCAAGGGATGCCGCTAGCTGATCTGGTTCGGAAACATCCTGGGTCATGGACGAGGCAGCAGTGGTTTGCCTTTGTCGTCTTGGTGTTTTTTCCCTCTTGGAAATGACTGGTGGAGCTGTTGAACTGAAAGCACCTGGGATTCCCTGTTCACGATCCGCTAGCTGCTCGGGTTCGGCAACATCCTGGGTCAAGGCTAGTTGTGAATTGGTTTGCCTTTGTGGTTTTGATGATTTTTTCTTGGAAGAAGTGCTTGGAGGAGCCGTTGAATGGAAAGCACCTGGGCTTCCCTGTTTTTGATTCACTAGCTGCTCAGGTTCTGAAGCATCCTGGGTCATGGACGAGGCTGCATTGATTTGATTTTTTCGTCTTGATGATTTTTTCTTGGAGGCTGGAGGAGCTGTCGAATTGAAAGCACCGGGTATTCCCCGTTCTCGATCCGCTAGCTGCTCGGGTTCAGAAGCATCCTGGGAAATGGATGAGGCTACATTCGTTTGCTTTTGTGGTCTTGATGATTTTTTCTTGGAGACTGGTGGAGCCATTGAATTGAAAGCACCTGGGATTCCCTGTTCTTGATCGTGTTGTTGTCGACGACTCTGCGTGTATAAAGAGGAATCATTCCAGCTGCTGGAATCGTTCCAGCTCGAATCCTTCAAGCTCTTGTCTGCCATTTTTGAGGAGCCGTCCATCGTCAAATCGTTGACCAAAGAATGGCTAGTAAATGAATCATCAATGTTGGTCATGGTTGTGTCACTGCCGTCCAAGAATGCAGATATTTCTTCCGTGGCTTCTTCACCGTCTTCTTCATCATCATCAGTTGTTGTTGTTGCCGTCTTGGCTTTGCGCTGCGATTCGTCTTTCGGAGTTGGTTCGAGTCTTTCCGACATATCATCAACTGCCATTTGGAGGTCTGCTCTTGACTTGAATTTGAGTAGATGGGTTGTTCCATTTCGATGTACGAGTTTCAGCATGGGCCGCGGCTTGTTGGCTCCATTCATCTTATGTTTCATTAGATGCTTCCAGGCCATCTTGATCTTGCCACTACTATTTTTGGATACTTGTTCGTCTTCGAATTCTTCCTGCTGCTGTTTGGGATAGAAAATGAGTCCACTGGACGACAAAACCAACTTGCCCGTGACGGATGAAGCAGGAGAGCTTTCCTTCTCTGGTTTGACCGACACATTGTAATAGACGGAGGAAGGAGTCTTCATCATCTTCTTCTTCTTGCCTTTTGACGAGGCCGGTTCTTCGTCAGGTTGACTTGCTGCTACTGCACCTTCCTGGTCGATGGTTGCCACCACCAAGTCCTCTTATCACTAATATATATTAATAAAATGGAGCTTCATCATCAATCAATCAATCAATCAATCAATCATCGTCCAGCACCGATCAAGAATCGAGAAGCCCGTGTGCTACCGTGCTGCCGTACTAGTCTAGTACATGTAGTAGAACCGGTAGTACCAGTGGTACAGCAGCTGAGACTAATAGCTGAGGTACCGTACCGTTGATACGTGCGTACGGTACGTACAGCTACGTGCGGTGGCTACCAGGTACATGGACCAGAGTCCATAACCCTACTTGTACCGCGGTACCCCTGGCTTTCTTGGTCAAAGTGCGACATCCGCTTTTAATAAAAGCTTGCTTAATTCCAGGTTTGATTTCGGCACATTCTTCAACCATGATCTGATCGGGGTGTGTTCTACTAGTAAGAGAATACGCGGTTGTGATCTCTTCGAGCACCTCTTAGATGGACGCAGTAGAGCAACTTGGTTTGGTGTTCAAAGGTTGTCTGGGTCATGCCGGGGCTGATCTGCTACGGTAGCTATTACTGGTACCAGGTAGCATGGTTGCCACCACCCGCTCCTTTGGTCGATGGCAGCGGGGTAGCGGTAGCGACTTGCTAGTAATAGCGGTCGCTATTCCATCGCTCCGTTGACTGGCTACTCCCTTTTCTTGAAAGCAGAATGACACTGCGCAGTGATTGTACCATACGAGTGTCAACCGGAATCAACAAGGCGAAATACGGGCCAGTTTTTCGTCGACAAAGAGTAGCTACCTTGAAGTGACGATACTGAAAGGCGTCCTTTGCGAGGAACAAGGCCTCGAAGAGTGCAAGGCCAACTCCGGATCCATCAATCTGCAACAGTCAATTTTGTGAATTCCGCAAGAAGAGATAGTGCGATAGATCAGGCGACGCTACTGCTGTAACAACAACATGGGCTACCGCATCGAACATCGATACCGCTACTAGTCTACTCTTTTTACATCTGTCGTCGTGGATCTCGATAGCGGCAACAGACCGTCGGCAACAGAAAAGAATTTCTGACACCAAAGAACTGCAATATACCAGGTCGATTGTGGAAGATCGGCAGGGCTATGATACAACGGAGCTATCATAGACAAAAAGATGTGGATCGGCACAAGGCTGGAAACAACGGATTTTGGGAGTTTTCTCAAGAACTACGAACGTACGGTAGCCTCCGTGGCTGGACAGTGGATACAGCCAAAGCTAGCTAGCTAGGAGTGGTTGTCTTGATCAACCGATTCGATTCGCTCAAAGACAATGAGGATGCAGTCTGGGTTTGGGAGAGGAATTCCCCAACTAACCACAGAAGATAATGGACACCTCCTCCATTTTGATAACCGCTGAATAATTTCATTGCCATCAAAGTGACTGCTAGATAGATGCTACTGCTGCGACGCTCACGTTGATATTGACAGAGTTGTTATTGGGAGTCCTAGCTAGTCGAGACTATGAATGTTACTTTGGGTGTTACAAAAGCTGGCCTGAATTAGAGAATGGTGTTTGACAACAAAAATGATGTTCCTCGGCCAAAGGGATCATTGGATTCTCAAATCCGGAGCTGAAACGGCATGCAGCTTTTAGGTGTTCCACCAACTACAGAATAGCCACCAAGGCACAACTCGTTCAGGAAGATGAAGCGCCGAGAGGAGTGTATCGTATATTTTCCATTCTAATGTAGAAGAAGGACTCATCGGATCATCATGGTTGACGCCATCATTGGTGTTCTTTGAAAAGAGGAAGCTAGCTCTCAGTAGAAAGACTGGCATGGTGGCCGAGGGGAGGATCGAGTAGATCGATGGCCCAAACAGCATCGTCATTGTGGGGATGAATTAGAAAAGCCAAGTACGGTACATTGTAACAAGAAGCGTAATCTTGCTAGGCAAGAGACCTTGGTACTCGGAAAAACGCCACGGACAGTGTGGATGTAGCAAAACACAGGTCCTTGCCGGTTGGAAATGATAGACTTTTGGGGGCAACTCTGGCTCCCCAATGAACGACCGACATCGTAGCACCGCCTAGTAACACTCACAATTGCAGTTTTCTGGGCAAGCAACGGCCTCCAAGCAGTCCACCCTTAAACTACTCAACTCCCCATCGATGGTCAAGGCGCAGACGCTTTCAGGCACGCTTCCGGAAAGACCATTCCGGTCGAGCCACATATTTGACACTGTCGAAAGCTCTCCTAGCTCAGTTGCAATTGTACCAGAAAGTCTGTTGAAACCCAGAATGAGCTCATCAAGCTTGGTGAGCATTCGCAGCTCTGTTGGGATAGGGCCCGTCAAACCGTTCTGGGAAAGATACAAGTCTTCCAAGTTTGCCAGCAAGCCAATGGTAGATGGGATCCGGCCCAACAGTTGATTATTGTCTATTCTCAGGTTTGTCAAAGCAGTCAAGGCACCAATGTCAGATGGAATAGGGCCAACCAAGAGGTTTTCTGTAAAAGCCAAATACAGGAGAGTTGAGAGTGATCCCAATGGTCCAATGGTACCAGTGAGACGATTGTGACTCAGTGTCAGCTCCAACAAGTTTGTGAGCATTTGCAACTGGCCGGGGATTGGACCTGTCAAAGCATTGTCCTCCAGGTAGAGATATAACAGGTTAGTTAGCATCTGGAACTGGCTTGGGATTGGCCCAGTCAGAGCATTCTCCTCAAAATCCAGGTACTCCAGTTTGGTCAAGAAACCAAAAGTAGTTGGTAGACGATCGGATAACTGATTGTTGTCCATCCGCAAACGGGTTAGCTCTGTCAAGGCACCAATGACCGATGGAATAGGGCCTGTCAACAAGTTTTCTTCGAAATCCAAGTGGTTTAGGACCAGAAGTGATCCCAGCGTGGATGGCACTCTCTGTGAAATTTGGTTTTCGTCGAGTCTCAATTGAGTCAACTGCGTCATTAGCCCTATCTCACTTGGTATGGAGCCGGTGAGTTGGTTCCGGTTCAATTGCAGTTCTTGCAGATTGGATAGCATTCCCAAGCAGGAAGGTATTGGTTGAGAAAGGCTGTTATCGTCCAGTTGCAGTGAAGCTAACTGAGACATCAAGCAGAACTCTGAAGGGATTGGCCCGATCAATGTATCATCGTACAGATGCAAATCTGTGAGCAGAGTAAGCCTGGCCAATTCAGTAGGTATCACATTGCCAAAGCGGTTGGCACTGCATTCGAGGTCAGTGAGCATCGTCAAAAGTCCAAGTTCGCTGGGCAGCACACGGAGTTGGTTTGTCGCATAGCCCAGCCACTCGAGACCAGTGAGAAGGCCTATTTCACTTCCAACAGTTCCTGTAAGGCGATTTTCTCCAATATCCAAAAAAGTCAAGGCGACCAAATTGAAGAATTCGCTTGGAAGGCGTCCACTTAACATGTTTCCGTCAATGTCAACACGTGTCAACTCGAGCAAAAGGCCAATTTCTGAAATTAGCGGGCCTGAAAAATCATTTGTATCCACATCCAGAAAAGTCAGCCTGGTGAGCTTTCCGATCTCTGTTGGCAGCTTGCCCGTGGCCAAATTATTACCAAGGGTCAAGGCTGTCAATGATGTCATTCCACCCAAGATGGAAGGGGGGAGCGTGCCAGACAGTTGGTTGGACAGGACCGAGAAGGATTTGAGCATTGGCAAGTACCCCAACTGGTACGGCAGGACAGCTGGAAGATATCCACTCCACTGTGATTCTTCGATTTCGAAGGTTTCCATGGAGGCAAGCAATTCCACTTCGGGTGGTATGTTGCCTTGTAATGGCAATCGAAATACCACCAGTTTCAAGGACTGGACCCGCCCCCGCTCAGCTCCCTCGTCATAACACTCGATCTGGTGGACACTAGAAGAATCACGGGCTGGTTGCAGCTCCGGCGTCCACTCACACTCATCAATTGATGGATTAAGCCACCCCTGTCCGTCCAGGGGATCCCAGTTGTCCCCATCAAAGCTGTAGTAAAATGCCGCCAGAGCAAACAATTGCTGTGTCCTCCATTCTGGAATCGACAACAATTTGTCCTCAGTAAAATTTGACGCCAGCCATGCAAACGCTTTGGACTGAGCTGTGGACGGATCTGAGAGCATGGGGACAGTGTAGTTCGGCAAGAGAATCTCGACGCTTCCCAAAATGGGCACTGCCACAGTCGGAGACACAAGTTCCACAGGCCCACTGCTGGTGGGCGCAGGTGTAGGATCAAAACCACTGCTACCACCACCTCCACAATTGCCCGTGCCACAAACAACTCCCACCACCACGACAGTGATAATGGCAATCGTCAACAGTGCGCACAGTCCAAAGCACAATCGTGCTTTGCGCTTACTTTCCGGTAGATACTTTGCCAGTCCTTCTTTGGGTTGCACAATTTCAGCTTGAGGAATCATGTCATGGTCCACTTCTTCCTCATCAGGAACGAGACTAGCTTCCACCAGGTGAACATCGTGTGGTTGTTGTTGCATCGTCATCAGCAACTCGTCTTGGGAACCTTGTTCTGGGGAGGAATGCTGGCTGTTCGTCATGTCCTCGTCACCAAAGTAGTCGTTGCGGCTAACCGGTACTACACCGACATTTGCTTCGTCATTCTCATTGATTCTCTTTTTTCCTGCTGTTTGTGAGGATGCTATTGTACTATTGCCAAACTTTTCGTGGGGAAATGGTGACCGTTGTGGAGCCATTCTCGATTTCCCTTTTTGTGCCTCCGCGGGAGACTGACCCACAACCGTTCCAGGTGGCACCAGATCTGGCATGGGTTCGTTGGTTGTGGAGTACCGGATGTTTTGAGCACCAGCTCGTTCGGCTCGTCTGGTATGCTTCTTTCTGTTGCCCTTGGAGGCTCTATTTGTGTCGTTGGGAGTGGTACGGGATGCCGCTAGTTGCTGTGTTTCGGATACATCCTGAGTCATGGACGAGGCCACATTGGTTTGCTTTTGTCGGTTTTGTGATTTCTTCCTTTTGGAAGAAGTAATCGGAGGAGCCGTGGAACTAAAAGCACCTGGGATTCCCTGCTCTTGATCTGCTAGTTGCCCAGGTTCCGAAGCTTTTTGGGTCACATACGACGCTACATTGGTTTGCCTTTGTCGCTTTGGTGATTTTCCCCTCTTGGAAGAAGTGACTGGTGGAGCCGTCGAACTGAAAGCACCTGGGATTCCCCGATTTTGATCCGCTAGTTGCCCAGGTTCTGAAGCATCCTGGGTCATGGAAGAGGGTACATTAGCTTGTTTTTGTCGTTTTGGTGATTTTTCCCTCTTGGCGACTGGTGAAGCTGTCGAACGGAAAGCACCTGGGATTCCTTGTTCTCGATCATGTTGTTGTCGGCGACTCTGCGTGTAGAGAGAGGAATCGTTCCAGCTGGAATCCTTCAAGCTCGTGTCTGCCATTTTGGAGGAGCCATCCAGCATCAAATCCTTGACCGAAGAATGGCTAGTAAATGAGGAATCAATGTTGGTTTCCATGTCACTGCTGTCCAAAGCTGATATTTCTTCCTTGGCTTCTTCGCCATCTTCTTCTTTTTGTGTTTCTTCTTTTGTAGTTAGTTCTCGTCTTTCCGAGATATCATCGAATGCCTTTTGCAGTTCCTCTCTCGACTTGAATTTGAGGAGATGAGTCGTTCCATTTCGATGTACGAGTTTCAGCATGGGTCGTGGCTTGTCGGCTCCATTCATCTGATGCTTCATCAAATTCTTCCAGGCCATCTTGATCTTGCCACTATTATTTTTGGATACTACAGTGGCAATTTCATCTTTGACTTCTTCTTCCTGTTGGTTGGGATAGAAAATGAGTCCATTGGATGACAAGACCAACTTGCCAGTGACGGAAGCAGCAGAAGAGCTGCCCTTGGGTTTGATCAATACATTGTAATAGACGGAGGAAGGAGTTTTCATCTTCTTCTTGCTTTTGGACGAGACTAGTTCTTCGTCAGGTTGACCTGCAGTGCAGCTTCCTGGTCACCTCCTAGCTAGCTAGTGCTCTTACGCCGTGGTTCTTTTAGGATAATTATTCTGGAGCTTCATCATCGTCAGGTCCCCAGCTGCAAATCGGGCCTGAAAAAACAAAATTAATGTATGTGCATCTTTGACACTTTTTATCGTTTTACGTTTTCAGCCCTGCATTGTTGGTAGATGTTAGAATTTACTTTAAACGTTATGGTTTTTTAAACAGTAAATTTGATGGATTCATTCTTTTTTTAAGTCCACGATGCTTTCCACGATCTGAGAAACGTGACCTTCGCAAGACAGGCGTTGGAAGAAGAGCACCTTAGCCTCGAAACCTGTGATTCATTCCCATGTCGAATCTATGAAAGTTAGGACAAGTTTAAAAGTGTTGGCGTTGATCGGATTGGGCCAGTGGCTTGCATTATGCATTTTAGTCAATCGTTGGTCACGGCTTGGCTGCGTTGTCGCAGTCCTCGTCATCATCAGGGGTATTCCAAAGAACTCCGTGAACGTGACCTATTGATATCGTCTAGCTTGCTTCCACCGTGGAGTTACTCTAGCTAAAGTTCTTCTTGACAACAGCGTCGTTCTTCTGTTTCGATTCTTCGCTCGACTCCAGATTCGTCTATCTAACTGGAGCACAATGCTACCTCTTGTCTTGTGGCCCATCCTCCAAACCGAATTGGGATTCATCATCTAACAAAATCTCCTCATCGTCCCAGCTTTCCTCGTTAGGAGGCTTAATCTCGTGGTTACGGATAATCACAACATCATTCTTGTCGGTGGAGGCTGGGCTGGAGCTGATCCAACCGTGCGGGAAATCATCCTTGTCCTTCTCTGCCTCCCCTCGTGTTCGTACCAACACTCTGTCACCATCCATAACGGATCCTTCCAGGACCAAGCGACTAAGTGGATTGAGTAGTTCTTTCGCAAGAGCACGCTTCAGTGGCCTCGCACCATAGCGGATGTCGAAGCCCTTTTCAGCGATGCAGTCTCGAGCCGGACCGCTGACATCAAGAATCATGTTCTGCCCGTCCTCCAAACGTCGAGCAATATCTTGAACCCCAATTTCTGCAATACGGTCCATGTTCTCACGTTGCAAACGATTAAAGATCACCGTTTCATCGATGCGGTTCAAGAGCTCGGGACTAAGCGTGTGTCGGACAACATCCATGATGCTCTCCTCGACCTCCGGTTCCGTGCCCTTGAAGTGCGAAGGGAGATCGGCTAGGACATGCGCACCAAGGTTGGAAGTCATGACGATGATACAATTGCGGAAATCCACTTGACGCCCATGAGAATCAGTCAAGTGACCTTCATCAAACAGCTGCAACAGTAGATTCCACACATCGCGGTGGCCCTGCGTTTTTCAAAGGAGTTTGTCATGACACACATGAGGTCGAATGGAAAAAGCAGTCCACGGCAATATCAAGCAAACATATTCATACCTTCTCGAATTCGTCCAACAAGATAACTTGGTAGGGGCGTCGTCGAATGCTTTCTGTCAAGACGCCGCCTTCGTCGTAGCCGACATAGCCAGGTGGGGCTCCAATCAAGCGCGACACAGTATGCTTCTCTCCGTATTCGCTCATATCAATCCGAGTCATGGCATTCGGGTCGTCGAAGATAAACTCCGCTAGCGCTTTGCACAACTCCGTCTTTCCAACTCCGGTCGGACCGAGGAACAAAAAGTTTCCCAGAGTGCGATCGTTTGCCTGAAGCCGAGTCCTGGCCAGTCGTACACAGTTGGACACAGCTTCCAAAGCATGGTCCTGACCAACTACACGCTCCCGAAGCTTGTCCTCCATGGTCAACAACTTTTGCGATTCGCTGCCAGTGATTCTAGACACTGGGATACCCGTGTGTCGTGCGATAATGGTAGCAATCGCGTCCGCTGTGACCGCCTCTTCTAGCATTTTGTTCTTCTTTTTCTTATTGTTGCCCCCCTCAGCTTCGGCTAGTTCCAGTTCGGCCAGTTGATCCTCAAGCTTTGGAATTGCGCCGTGGAGCATCTCACCCGCCTTTGTGTAGTCTCCACGTTTCCTGGCCCGGTCCGCTTCGGCCCTTGCCTGTTCCAATTCTTCCTTGAGGTCCCGAATCTTGTTGAGTTCATTTTTTTCTTGTTGCCAGATATTCGTCAACCGTTCCATTTCTGCCTTGAGTCGATCGACTTGCTCTTGGACAGACTGTTTTCGTGCTAACGATTTGGGATCATCTTCATTCTCCAGGGCACTCAATTCAATTTGTCGTGTCAGTAAATCGCGTTCAACTTTCCAAATGATTTCGGGTTTGGATTCCTGTTCCAGTCGCAATCGACTGCAGGCTTCATCCACAAGATCAATGCTCTTGTCAGGCTGCTTTCGGTCCGTTATATATCGATCACTAAGGGTGGCTGCCGCGACCAGTGCTTCGTCTAGAAGACGAATTCCAGCGTGATGCAACTCATATTGGTTCTATCAGTGGTCGGAAAGGGAAGCGGACATCAGATTGTGTGTTGTCGTGTAATGGTCAGAATCAGGAGGGATTGGAAGGATGGTGCAAGCGAAGAATCAATCAATCCATCACCCAGCTGTGAGATACTACGTCGCGTTATGCACACAAACGACAAGCTCCTCCTGCATCGTACGTACCTTGAGCCCTCTCAAAATAGAAAGTGTATCTTCCACATCCGGTTCCTTGCAATACACCGACTGGAAGCGTCGCGCCAAGGCCGCATCCTTTTCCATGATGCGGTACTCATCAAGCGTAGTTGCCCCCAGCATCTGTAGCTCTCCTCGCGCCAAGGCAGGCTTTAACATGTTGGACATGTCATTGCCACCTTGTCCGGTGCGTCCTGCTCCCACCATGGTATGAATCTCATCAATAAAGAGGATAATCTTTCCCGCTTGTGCCTGGACCTCCTTGATGACATCCTGCAATCGTTGTTCAAACTGTCCCTGAAACATGGCCCCACTGACCAACCCAGTGACATCCAAACGTAGGACTCGCTTGTCTTTCATGGACTCGGGGACTTCTCCACTGACAATGCGTTGTGCCAATCCTTCCGCAATGGCCGTTTTCCCCACGCCTGATTAGCATTGTAAAAAAGAAAAATGGTGAGATACCCACGGATTCCAGTAGATATCTACAGCTATCCATTGAAATGCCACATGCCTTGATGCTTACGTACTTACCAGCCTCTCCAATCAAAATGGGATTATTCTTGGTCCTTCGTGCCAAGATTTGCAGACATCGACGGATTTCTTCGTGTCGTCCAATAATGGGATCCAGTTTGTGATTTTCGGCTTGGGCTGTCAAATCGACGGTATACTGTTCCAACGCTGACTTTTGTGGTGGTTGCTGTTGACCACCTCCCATGACATTTCCCAAGGGCTGCGACGAAAAGTGACGGTATGACATGGATGGTGAAGAATGATGATGAGAATCCCTCCAATAATAAGGGGTCTCCAGGCATGGAACTGCCATGGCTTTGGGAAACACTCCTCTGGCTGCTGCTGCTAGCCTACTACTAGTAGAATTGAGGCTTCTACTACTAGCAGCAGCAGCATTGCGAGCCAACGTCGTCAAACGACGAGATGATTGCCTCATCATGATTCTGTTGCTTCCCTTTGATGCTTTTTGTGGTCAAAATGAACAAGAAAAGAAGATGCGATCTCGTCCATTCGTACGCAGCCAAAAATTCTTTTGGCTTCGATGGGCTTCTGTTGCCACCGAGAAAAGAAGATCTAAAGATCCAAGTCCGTGGATCCTCGTTTGTTCACTCTTCTTTTGCCATTCATTCTTCTTGGATGCCTCTACCTTTCCTCTATCAAAATGATCCTTTACAGCAGCTACTTCTTTTTCCTCCTTTTAAAAGAAGACTGCACCATGGCAGTCTCCTCTTGTTTGAATACTGTAGGCTGGAAGCAGCGGCAGCAGGAGCTTCTTCCGTTCGACGGATCGGCTTCTTTCGGTGATGACATGACTGCATGCTTCTAATGTATGGAGCCTCTTTCACGGAGCCACCAGAATCTGATGATCAAGCCAGTTGAGATTGCGATACTACCGTTCGCCTATTGATAGACTAGCTATTGATAGACTAGCTAACGCCATTGATGCGGTACTGTAGGTTGTTGCTTGCGGGCGCCAGCCATATCGTACCGACTGGTGGGCAGATTTCATTCATTCATTGGATCCATCCGAAGGAATAAAGAGAGCTCGTTGCACGACAGGATGAAGCAAACACGGCCCTTTGACTGACTGACGGACAGCCACTGGACTATTGGGGAATTTATTTCTCAATGCCTTGTCCGAGTTGAGTCCAACAATTGGGATTGGACGTTGATCAGATAGATGACTACTGTATCCACTGCATTGGCACCGTACCATACTCTACGGGGTTCATTGTGACTCGACTCGACTCTGCGAGCCTTGGAATGAACGATGCCGCAGACAAAAACGCCGCAAGCACCGGGCCAATATGGGGAGTTGAGCATCTGTTGGATTCCATTCTCTGAAGGAACTGCAAATGGACGCAATAATACTCAGGTCGACTGTGGACGGCAATCGATTTGACTTGACAAAAGCAACGCCACACCAAGAAAAACAATGTGCGCAAGTTCTGGATCAGTTCGAGCGATCGATCAAACCGTCGTGTGTCCACACATGGATACTGTACCATGGAGGCGGCAAAGCCAATCGCGGCGGAGGAAAGCTGCGTACGCCGTCCTGGTGTGGCGCAATGGTAGAGTACGGAACAGGCGTCCTGGCTGTGAAACGCTGGCCGCTTGGATGCCATCATCCAATCAAACCAATCTACTGACTGCGGCAATCCGCAAGACCCTCTAAAACAGGGACCAAAGATGCTGCAGACCGTCTTGAATTCTGCCTTGAATCGACCGGATGGAGCGTCTTTTGCTGCCCAAGGTAGAAGGGGCATTGTGGAAAAAGATTTTAGGGAAGGAGCGCGGCAGCAGAGACTTGTGAGTTTTGCGAGCACAACTCCATCCCGGGGCAAAGCAAGCTTGCTTTGATGTGTGATGTGATACCCCCTAAATCGGCTATTCAAGACTCCCCTGGTTGAGAAGGGGGGCTGGGCACAGCTCGCTACATTTATCTTCTAGGAAATATGGTACTTCAAAACCTCTCTATATGGCAAGGGCGGCAGCCTCGGGCTCTTGCAAGGCATTCATCAGAAGAGTGCTTCATCTATGTGCTGTTGTGGCTAGTGGAGCAGATTGCATCGCTCAAGCCCAGAGCAATATAGTTAGAAATTGTGACGGGAGAGAAGAAACGATGTTCCTGGAGACGGGGATGTAGGTAGTCGCTCGGATTCTTGAGGTTGGAGACGCAAGATGCCGCGGGCATCGTGGTAATGATGGCGGTGATGGTGCCAGCGAGAGCAACTGCGGACAGCAAGCAAAGAGAGACTAAGATGTCGTCATGAATCCATGTAAGGAGTTCCCATCATGTTTTGACACTTGTCTCGAGACATCATGACAAGTCTGCGAGTACCTCGTTCAATTTCAAAGATTAGAATCAGCTACATGTACCGGTACATGTGGGAGGTATTTTGACTGGGCGTCTATATGATTGGATACCGGTACAACAAGCACCAATCCTACCCACGGACAGCATTAGTTAGATGGTAGAGAATGCACAATCATTTGGTTCTAGCTAGCTGTAGGCGAATTCTATTTGGATTGAATTGCATCAATAAGCAAGTCCGAAGCCTGCCGTGGCTGCCGAGTGGATTGTGGGGGAAAGTGAGACAGCTCCCCAGAAAGCAAGCGGAAACCTCAATTGTTTTGGCTTGCCCGAAGCTCACTCAGTTTCTCTCGGGCTTCGGTGAGAGCGGAATCTGCCAAACCAATACCACGACGAGGGCAGGAGCTAACCGCCTTCTCAAGCTAATGGATTGCCAGTGCTTTGTCCACGCTCAAGTCTACGGAACCTGTATCGTCCGTTGTCAATACCATACATTGCCAAAATGAAAGCGGCAGTGGGGGAACCTTGGTCAGCTGCAGTGGACATGAGCTCCAATCCAAGTGACTGTTGCCGGGCCACACCTTTCCCATCAAGATAGCAACCCCCCAAACTTGCAGTACCCGCAGCATTTCCAGCCTTGTGCGCTCTCTCGTACCACTGAAAGGCCAATGTGTGATCTTGCTTGAAACCGCGGAAACCGAATTCATAGTTCTGCCCTACATCAAACATTGCATCTCCGCCCTCTGCCTTCGCCAGAAACTTTTCCATGACTTTCTTCTCTTGAACCTTCGCGTTCCACTTTGCAGCGTGATTTCCACTAATGACGCCCGACTCCACCAAAATCTCAATGTGATTGCGAATCCGGATCACAGGAATGAGGCGGCGGCCCATTGGCAGGTTGGTGACCGGCGATTTGAGATTTTGGTCGTCTTGGCTCTCCATATGTGTCTCAATGAACGGTCGATCATAAATACATCCATCCTCCGCAATGACAGGATCCCATGGAAGCTCCAAGCAAATGGGACAAATCAAATCGTCAATCGGGAGTTCCTTTGGTGGTGGAATCTCTTTAGCAGTCTCGTTGATTGGCTCAAAGGTCTCGGTTTGAGTCTCTTGCGTCTCGTCGCTTGGCTCAAATTCATCTGGTGGCGACACTTGGACCTCTCCGGTTGGTTCCCAAATTTGACTTTTGGAAAACCAAGAGAACAAACACCAAAGCCACACACCAATGCCAAGGCCAATGCCAATGTTCATCCCAATCAACTTCCACAAAAAGTCCGACATGTTGAGTAGAATGATGAATTCAATCGAATCGAATCGAATCGAATCGAATCCTGTTGTACAAAGACACAATTGAGAAAAAGGTGGAGAAAAAGACGCTGTCGGCGTGAAGCAATGACAATGGTCGGCATTTTGGCATTGGCCGCTAGCGCTCGTCATGTCAAAACCTACCTCTCAGTTTCTGTTACCAGTCGCTCTGTTTGTAGTTCTCCTGTATTTCAAGCTGATTGAATTGAATCGAATTGAATCGAGGTCGAAACGAAATCGTAGCCAACAGAGCAACAGGACAGCGTCTGGTGCAGTTTTCTTTTTTTGTGGTGTGATGTGGATTTTGTGACGGCTTGGTTTCTCTCGCAAAATAGTCTAGCAATAATATTGCAATAAAAAATTCATACGCCCCCTGGGTCGTCTCCGTTTCCATAAATCTTTTATTACCAACACCTAACTCCCTTTATTGAAACAGTATTCGCGCGCTCCGCGCGCTCATCCCTTTCAGCTTCGCCCCGAGCCATGAAACTGCTCCCTCGTCATTCATGCAAAACATGTGATCCCTCATTCATGCGAAAAATGTGAAGAACCCTCATTCATGCGAAAAATGTGAAGAACGCAAGGCGACTTTCATGTGCATGTACATGCGTTGACTGTATCCCGTCAATACAATACTAGTCGAATACGTAGACTTCTACAGAGGCCTCTAAGTAATGCACGCGGGGTATAATTCAAACCTCCACTCCCCAAAAGTACCCTTACCCCTAAAAGCAAATCGTCTCCGGGAGACGAAATAAGGTTCCTGTGGTCAGGCACAAGACAAGTCTCGCCCTTTGCCTGATAATCGTAAAAACAACTTCGCAGGCTTTTATAAGATCCATCGACCATCACAACGCACTCCCTCCTTGCATTGTATGTCATCCTTACAAAGTCTTTCCTAGCTAGCTAGGCAATGATTGATGTCCCTCACAGCAAGGAAAGGAGGTATCCGAAGCCATCATGAGGCAAGACTTGTAGCTACTCTGTTTCTGCGTCTATTGATTTGCTTGGTCCAGCTCCCAGTGTCTTCCTCTCTGCTAGCTAGATGCCGCTGCCAACCGATTCCCACGACATCCGCACAACTGGATTCGTCCATCATGGGAGATCTTGTCTGAGTATTGCTTCTACTATATCAGACGATATTGATAGCAGCAATCATCGTCTCGAGGCCAACAGTGAATCGTTTGGATGCAATGACGAGGAATTTGAAGATTGGATTCGAAACGAATTGTGTCACAACAATACCGACCAAGCTCTGTGTCGAGCCTATCCAACACTCTTTCAAGACTTGCCCCCCCGTGCCATTGGCCAATGGCGTCAACGGTATCGAGGCAACCCGACGCTGTGGCGTCGTCTCTTCAAAAAGGAACGCGTCCTGAAGGAATTCATTGAAGCCGTCCCCATTCTCGATTGGATTGTTTCATGATGACTGTCATGACGACTCAAAAGACGACAATAATGACGCCTATTATTATTATTATTATCGAAATGTCACCATTGTGGATTTGGCATCTGGAAAAGGATACTTGAGCATGTTCTTGCTCAGTGAAATGCTGCCACCCGATCGAGTCGATCGTTTCGTACTCATGGACAAGGCGTGGCCCATGCAGAATCAACAACAACCCAAGGAACATCATATTAGCTGGGAACACATTTACGGGACCGTACCATCTTCCAACAACAACAACAACAACAACAATACTACTACTACATGTACTAATAATAATACAATCTACCAAGATCTCTGGCCCATTCCACTCGTGACATCCAAGCAACAAGATCTCAAACAATCCTGCAATCATCGGACGTTGCACAAACGATTCTTTTCCCAAGCGGACGGACATGTTCTGGTCTTGGCGGTTCACTTACTTGTGTGGCTGGGACACTGTCGCTCATCAAGGCCGTGGAGTTATTTCCCAACAATCCCGATAGTATTGCCTTTTTGGCGCTCAAACCGTGTTGTTTGCCACCCAACCCCAACGCGACGAAACCTTCTTTGTGGGCATTCCTTTCCCGCTCGTTTGGTCTGCGCCAATGGTAAATTCAAAGGCAAGCAATGCTCCGGACCACCCCGATGGCATCTTCAACACAAGTTTGAAACCTGGGCCGAACACTTGTTTCTCGGTGTCAACAGTAGTAGTATGGAAGATACTACCCAAGCGGCACGGGTCCGTGTCAAGGTGCAAACCGAGGGAGGCTACCAAAATGCATTCATCTTTGCACAACGAACACCCATTACGGACCGTGTTTGGAACCGGCTCGGGAAGAATCAAGTGGCGTCCTTTCTTTCGGACCGCAACCACAACCACAACCACAACAAAACCTTGACAACCATATGACGACTTAAAAGAAGCAGAGAGAAGGAAACAAGGGTGGGATGATACAGGCCTTGGCGAGCTTGTCTTGCAGCAACAACAATTGGCGCTACCAGTAGATTGCTGAGTGGCCGAAAGGAATCCAATCCAGTCGACTTGAACAAGTCCTGATTGATCCGTGCAACCGCTTAGATATCATGTTCGTTCTCAATGTTCTCGGCTGCAAAAGTAAGTTTGGAAGGTACATGTACTGGAAGGATTCGAATGATTGAATCTATGAACTCCCTACCCCCACGACCATGATTGTCGAGTATGTTATGGTGCAGATGGAACTAACGAAATCCTAATAGGAAGCGTCCGAGATTGCTGCAACAATAGTTGGCTCTACGGGATTGAGCTAAGTTAGTTGTCCCGCTCGTAGAGCACAAGTACGCTGCAAACCCAGTGTGGCCGTAGTTAGCTTTTATTTACTTCATCTCGTCTCGTGTATCGTTCTATCAAAGTGTCCTACAAAAAGGACTGAATTCATACCACAAATACTAGTAATCCACAAATCATCGAAAGGAGGAGATCTCGCGCCCATGCGCTTTCTCTCGTCACCCTTCTTCCGAGTGTCCATCTAATAACAAAGGGACAACCTGTTCCTGAATTCAATGCACCAGCTAAGTTTAGGTTGTCTTTGGTTGACTCCATGCCGCAGGGACGAGATTGTCATTGATGATTTCTCGATGACAAGACCATACCAGTTTGATGGCTTCTGGAGTTCCAATCCCTGCTCCACGAGGATCTCCTGCCGGTCCAAACCAATGGTTCTGCGGGGCTCCGGTGGTACGGGCTCGTCGTCCGGCGTAGGTGGTACCATTGACCGTGTTGGCCAACACCTTGGTTTGAAAGGCAGGATCGTTGGAAACCACGGCGGCCGTCAAGTGATGCGACATGCGTTCGGTAGCCTCCAGGACAGTATCCAACGAATCATCATTGTAAAAGGTCACGACCTGGAAGGGTGCAAAGAGTTCAGTGGTGCAATCATCAAAATGTTCCTCCTTCATCATTTCTTCCAGTGGCACAAAGACAGCCGTCGGCTCGACGGCTCCATATTGCTCGGGAATGTTGTGATTGGCCAGTTCCTTGCCACCCCAAAGGACCTTGGCACCAGGAATGCTAGCCAACCGGTTGGTGTGATCCAAAAACTTTTGGGTGGTATTGGTCAAGACGGGTCCCACGGTAAAGTCATCCATCGTTCTCTTGGCGGCATTGGCTTGCATCTTGTCCACCAATCCGGCGGCTTTCCAGTTTTCGTGAATAAAGACAATGGATTGCGCCGAGCACTTTTGTCCAATACTGGCATAGGCATCCTGATCACACTGCCACGCCACATAGTCTACATTATCAACGTCCGGGCCAATGATTTTCCAGTCAAACCCGGCATCTTCGAGTTTGACCTTGCCGTGTGTGGCGGCCGACAGCATCTCTCCCACTTTGGAGGATCCGGTAAACTGTGTGACGCGCACGGGTGCTTCCACAATAACCTTTTGCGCCACGGGTCCCTTGCAATTCAAAAAGTCAACATCGGCGGGATCCATGCCACAATGCTGCAGAAGTTTAATGAATTGTTCCATGACAATCGAGACTTGTTCGGAAGGTTTCAGAACTGGTTTGTTCCCCATGAATAGAGCGCCCATGAGTTGTAGGACTGGAATCTCGAGTGGAAAATTAAAGGGTGTCACCAATGCCACTGGGCCATAGGGCCAACGGTGTCCCACACTCATTTGTCCGTAATGATCTCCCGGCACTCCAAAGGATTGAGCGAGACGGCGGACATTGTCTCCTCCAAAATTGTTGAGGAATGCAGCCGTGACGGCTACTTCTCCCATGGCTTGGGCATGAGATTTGGGCACGCATTTGATAATGGATTGGGTAAAGAATTCGGCAATATCCGGTTGCATGAGAGCGTCGCCAGCCTACCGGTAGTGTGTTAGTAGCAGTGAGGGAAATGACAAGAAGAACTAGCGAGTGAGAAAATATACCGAACAAGGAGTGTCCTGTTGTATACTTCAGGTTTGGCACTACACTACTACTACTCACTCGTCGACTAATTTCTCCATATTGCACATACCGCTCTGGATTCTTGAGTGGATTGTGCAAACCCGTCTTGGAGCATGCTCGCAGACTTTCGAGAAAGGGTCCCACTTCGTCGGCTTGGGTATCGGGAATGGTAAAAATGGGAGGAGCATCCTTGTCGAGTGGATGGGGGATAATCATTTTGGATTTGGTATCGGCGGTCCACTTCCCACCCACACAGTTGGAAACATCGTACGGTGTCGCATCCACACCCAGCTGGTGGGGATCCATGGTCGCCCATTGTGGAACCGAAGCGAAGCCTCGTGTTGTAGCAGCCACAACACGGCTGCTCCCGAGCACTTTTTGACTCGTCAATCGTAGCATGGTACTCTCTAGAAAATGGATGGGTATCTATCTGGGCAACCCTTTGGGGGGTTGTTGATTGTCTTCCGGAACACAAAGACTATGATGGTCTCCAAAGGACCAGCTTGGTTCCTGTTAGAGACTCCGATGGATGGATGGATGATGGTGTCGAAGGCATTCCCACCTGGAAATGCAACAAAAGGTGACCGTTGCTGACGTCTTGGATCTTCCGAGAAAGATCCAGGCTTCCGGATACTATTGTTTTAAAAGTCGCGCAGTTGAACACGCCTACAACCGTGAGCTGACATCACTGCACCACCCAACGTACTGTTGGAACCGAGCAGGGAAGCTGCTTCAATGCTAAGCTGGAAAGCTGTAAACATGTCTACGGTTATGAACTGATGTTGCTATTACAGAGGAGGTGCTGCTGGCTCTTCTTCGGTGTACCGAAACTAGTACCGTAGCACCAGCCATTGGCCGGCACAAAAGATTTCGTATTTCTCGCAACTCTGTCACACCTGTTGAGGATTCTCTCAAGCTAGCATACGGTAGCTTAGAGCAAAGCTTCTATGCTAGCTAGCTACCGGTAGCCACATGTAGGGAGAGAGCTATCATTCCAAAACACCGTCACCATCGCACCGTCCCATCTACCAGACTATTCCGCTTCAGCAAGCGTCGTAGGCACCCAAATTTGCCAGCTGCACAGCAAGTGTCCAGTTATTAGCTTGCGTCTAGTTCGTACAGTGGTTAGTACCCCGCATTGTGGTTGCGGAAACCTGAGTTCGATTCTCAGACTGGACAATTTAGCTCTTGTGTGCTTTTGCTGCCACTCAAGGCAATTCTGATACTGTGCTCTGGAGAGGGTCCATCATCTTGGCACTTGACGCTGTGGAAACCTGGCTGTTTTCTCCTAATTTGTAGCCAGCTAGTGCAGCAGGAAAGTAGCTATGTAACATTGATAGACTGGCAATCCACTTTGTCGTTGCAGAAACCTGAGAACCAACCCAACCCAGACAGGACAGTACATGTGTGCTTATTATGCTGCCTTCAGTTCTCAGGCAGACTGTGAGTAGTATTAGTTGGGAGAGGAACAAAGCACCGTTCACCACCTGGTGCCTTGCTCAATCACATCTCTGCCGTCGAATACAACCAGCCAGGGACACACGTTCTGTCATGCTGAATGACTACTTTTATTGACGACAACAATTCCACCCGTGCCGTACCGATGCTTTGCCGCGCACTTCCCCTTTCTATTGAAACTGACTTCATCAATGCTTATTCTCAAAGTAAGCAAACCAACCGTTCCCAACTTTCTTGTCCTGCACCTTGACTGCAACTCGCATACTGTATCCTTCTTTGTGCGAATTTTGCACAAGCGGAGACCCTCCAACCAAGACTTCTTTGGTCGTTTCATCCAGTCTCCGGGTAAAGTTTGTGTTGTTCTTCTTCTTCATATGTGGGGCGGTTTGGGTCGTTTCTCCTCCTCGGATACCTTCACAGTCGAACCATCTAATTTTTGTGAAGTGCCTTGCTCTCATATACGAGCTAGCTACATGTAGCTAGTACTTGTTGGCTGGCTTCTTAGGTCATCATCGTGGCCACCGCCATGAAGCAAGGTATTGTGTTATTGAATAAAGCACGGACTAATGTACCGGTTCCGTGATGCTAGACTAGTAGACAGGGTCTGGCGAGAGGCGTGAGTGGAATGAATTTTTACGCTTTTTTAGAGGGTGTCGCACAGTTGAGCGAACCCAACCCTCTTCCACATCCGTTGGGAATGATGGCCCCACTCACCCCGCACTGCTTCGTCCTTGTTGCCCATTCTAGTATCATTTTTCCCTGAGATCTTATTGTGATCATGATGTTTTCACATCCAAGCATGTCTACCGTTGTGACAGCCAAAGCAGAGGTGCCCCTGGCACAATCCTTTGCCATGTTGGCCAATGGAGAGTTCTGCGACGTCTCGCTGCGAGCCAATGATGGAGTGCTCATCCCCGCCAATAGCATGGCCTTGTCTGTTCGCAGTGGATACTTCAAGAGCCTGTTCCAAAAGAGACGATCCAAGCAAGGCAAAAGCAGTGGCTATGTAGTACCTATGGGACTTTCCAGCAACATTCTATTGGCTATTGTGGAGTACATCCATACAGATACACCCAGTATCTTGAGGGAAATGACCATTGACGCGAGATCCACTGGCAAGCCTACTGCTGAATTCATGAAAAAGTTCCAAGAATTGTTGCCGCTGACAGAAGCAGCCATTTCCGTTGGATTACCAGGGCTGTATCAAAAGGTGCAGTTTTGTCTCTCCTCCATCCTGGCGGTCTGCCCTGGACTGACCTTTGCCATTTTGGCAGCATCCAAGCAAGAGGGTCCTGCCATTTCGAGGGAACTCGAGAAACAGGCCCGGAAAGTGGTCGGCTCGGTCATTCCCGTACCCGAGGCACTGAATGAAATTGTACTGGGGGGCATTGACGTTGACACTCTGAGGGCCATCCTTCAAGACATTCAGCGTGAAAACAAACTGGACGTCCTCGGTATTGATTTCCTGCTCAGCGCCTGGTCAGAAAGCAACCCGTCCATACCCGATGAAACCAAAGAACATCGATTAGACGAGGCCAAGTCCTTGATGCATCATGTGGAACTTGGATGTTGGCCGCTGCAGTGGAAGCATACCGGATCACATATTTTTGCCAGTGGCATACGCTGGAATTCGGATTGCTTAGACTTTGTTTGTGGTTTGGGTGGAACCTATCAGTGGACGGTCAACACAGATGCTACTTCTAACAAGAAAATGTTTGGCTCTCACATTTGGCTTGGCGTGATGAAGAAGAAATCCACTGGTGAGGATACTATTAGCTTTGATATACCCGAGTATTGTGGCCAACATACGGATTGTTGGGGTATCTGCGGACCTAGTTCAGATCGTGATGGTCCGTTGTCCGGTCACGCAGCCAGGCTTTTTGGAAAGAATGGATCACGTAATGTCATCACGATGAGCCTGGACTTGTCAGACAACAATAGAAGCAATGGATCCCTTTCCATCTCCGTTGACAGACAACAATCCATTCGAGTGGTTTCCAACCTGCGAGCTCATCTGGAAGGGGCCGTTGGCTTTGTGCCGGCTGTGTCGTGCATGTTTGCAAGTGTCAACATTGTCAGTTTCCGGAAATTGAAATACAACGATCGATAGTGGGTCCAAGTTGCTCCTGAAGCTGCTGGTACAAGCTTTGATTGCTTGGCATGTGGCGACGGCACTACGGATCCATCACATACCGGTAGGGGGTGTATGTTCGTAGTACGCGCGCGGCTTTCTGGGGGTCGGGAGCAGCTCCAGCAACTGTTTTGGGGGCCACAAGCTCAGAAAGATCGTGAATATTTGTAGGAAGCGCAGAAGGATGATTCGTCTTGCCGACCAGCCCAAGAGACCAAGAAGAAGGCTGGAACCACGGCTTCGGTATGTCAAGAGAGAGAAGAAGTGTGAGCCTTCAGCTATCAGAAGGACGCCAATGTCTTTCGTGCCAAGGACGAGATGAATAACGACGATTCTGGACTGTTGCGGAGGAGGGTGCTGAGAATGAAGTCACCAAGAGAACGCCAATTCTGAGGACGCCTTTTGGTTGGCGGAGCTGTAGGAAGTGCAGTACGATGATTCGTCTTGAGCCCGACCAGCCCAAGAGACCAAGAAGAAGGCTGGAGCCTTCGGTATGTCAAGAGAGAGAAGAAGTGCGAGACTTAAGAATTCTAAGAGTGAACTTGAGCTGACTCGTTAGAGCAAAGAACTACTAATGTCACAGGAACTACCAACAGTAAACTACCAACAGTAATTCTAACAGGAACAGAAAAGCAGGTCGAAATGCACTAGCTTGGAAAGAGGAGTCAGCTCCGAGTCACAGGAACCACCAACAGTGAACCACCAACAGTAATTCTAACAGGAACAGAAAAGCAGGTCGAAATGCACTAGCTTGGAAAGAGGAGTCAGCTCCGATTCAAATCCTTGGGTCTGGAGCACACCAACAGCAACCACCAACAGGAAACCAACAGGAACCTCCAACAATGAGCTCCAATTGCATGCATCCACTTTCATTCAGCGAAGCAACAGACAAACACCCTTCCGAGTGCCCGCCAACCCTTCCAACACGAATGCTGACTCGTTAGAGCAAAGAACTATTAATGTCACAGGAACTACCAACAGTAAACCACCAACAGTGAGTTCCAACAGGAACAGAAAAGCAGGTCGAAATGCACTAGCTCCGAAAGAGGAGTCAGCTCCGATTCAAATCCTTGGGTCATGTCACAGGAACCACCAACAGTGAGCTCCAAATGCACTCCACTTTGGTTCAGCGAAGAGCAACGAACACCCTTTCGAGTGCCCGCCACCCTTCCAACACGAATGCTGACTCGTTAGAGAAAGAACTACTAATGTCACAGGAACTACCAACAGTAACCACCAACAGTGAGTCCAACAGGAACAGAAAAGCAGGTCGAAATGCACTAGCTCCGAAAGAGGAGTCAGCTCCGATTCAAATCCTTGGGTCATGTCACAGGAACCACCAACAGTGAGCTCCAACAGGAACAGAAAAGCAGGTCGAAATCTACTAGCTTGGAAAGAGAGTCTGTTTCAGAAAGGACGGATCGCGGGTCTTGTTTGTCTAAGAAACGCAGAATAGAGACAGAAGGTTAGACTTGAATCAAGAGCAAAAGTACAAAGGGCTGCATGCATGCATGCCACTTTTGTTCAGCGAAGACAATCAGGAACACACTCTCGAGTGCCCCTGGAAGCTTCCAACACGAATGCTGACTCGCAAGAGTAAAGAACGCAGGTGACATGCTTTTGCATGCGAAAAACACAGGTGTACCGTACCTGTTTGACTCGATCAGCTGACCGACTGGTGCTATGTCACAGGAACCACCAACAGTGAGCTCCAACAGGAACAGAAAAGCAGGTCGAAATGCACTAGCTCGAAAGAGGAGTCAGCTCCGATTCAAACCTTGGTCATGTCACAGACACATGGCCAGCAGCACTTTGGTTCAGCGAGCAGCTAACGAACACCCTTTCGAGTGCCCGCCACCTTCCAACACGAATGCTGACTCGTTGAGCAAAGAACTACTAATGTCACAGGAGCTACCAACAGTAAACCACCAACAGTGAGTTCCAACAGGAACAGAAAAGCAGGTCGAAATGCACTAGCTCCGAAAGAGGATCAGCTCCGATTCAAATCCTTGGGTCATGTCACAGGAACCACCAACAGTGAGCTCAACAGGAACAGAAAAGCAGGTCGAAATCTACTAGCTTGGAAGAGAGTCTGTTTCAGAAAGGACGGATCGCGGGTCTTGTTTGTCTAAGAGAAAGCAGAATGAGGACAGAAGGTTAGACTTGAATAAGAGCAAAAGTGCAAAAGGGCTGCATGCATGCATGCCATTTTGTTCAGCGAAGACAATCAGGAACACACTCTCGAGTGCCCCTGGAAGCTTCCAACACGAATGCTGACTCGCAAGAGTAAAGAACGCAGGTGACATGCTTTTGCATGCGAAAACACAGTGTACCGTACCTGTTTGACTCGATCAGCTGACCGACTGGTGCTATGTCACAGGAACCACCAACAGTGAGCTCCAACAGGAACAGAAAAGCAGGTCGAAAGCACTAGCTCGAAAGAGGAGTCAGCTCCGATTCAAATCCTTGGTCTGTCAAGGAAACAGTGCAGCTCCATGCACATTTGGTTCAGCGAAGAGCTAACGAACACCCTTTCGAGTGCCGCCAACCTTCCAACACGAATGCTGACTCGTTAGAGCAAAGAACTATAATGTCACAGGATACCAACAGTAAACACCAACAGTGAGTCCAACAGGAACAGAAAAGCAGGTCGAATGCACTAGCTCCGAAAGAGGAGTCAGCTCCGATTCAAATCTTGGGTCATGTCACAGGAACCACCAACAGTGAGCTCCAACAGGAACAGAAAAGCAGGTCGAAATCTACTAGCGAAAGAGAGTCTGTTTCAGAAAGGACGGATCGGCGGGTCTTGTTTGTCTAAGAGAAACGCAGAATAGAGGACAGAAGGTTAGACTTGAATCAAGAGCAAAAGTGCAAAGGGCTGCATGCATGCATGCCACTTTTGTTCAGCGAAGACAATCAGGACACACTCTCGAGTGCCCCTGGAAGCTTCCAACACGAATGCTACTCGCAAGAGTAAAGAACGCGGTGACATGCTTTTGCATGGAAAAACACGTGTACCGTACCTGTTTGACTCGATCAGCTGACCGACTGGTGCTATGTCACAGGAACACCAACAGTGAGCTCCAACAGGAACAGAAAAGCAGGTCGAAATCACTAGCTCGAAAGAGGAGTCAGTCCGATTCAAATCCTTGGGTCATGTCACAGGACCACCAACAGTGAGCTCCAAAATGCAGCCACTTTGGTTAGCGAAGAGCTAACGAACACCCTTTCGAGTGCCCGCCAACCCTTCCAACACGAATGCTGACTCGTTAGAGCAAAGAACTACTAATGTCACAGGAGCTACCAACAGTAAACCACCAACAGTGAGTTCCAACAGGAACAGAAAAGCAGGTCGAAATGCACTAGCTCCGAAAGAGGAGTCAGCTCCGATTCAAATCCTTGGGTCATGTCACAGGAACCACCAACAGTGAGCTCCAACAGGAACAGAAAAGCAGGTCGAAATCTACTAGCTTGGAAAGAGAGTCTGTTTCAGAAAGGACGGATCAGCGGGTCTTGTTTGTCTAAGAAAAGCAGAATAGACGACAGAAGGTTAGACTTGAATCAAGAGCAAAAGTGCAAAGGGCTGCATGCATGCATGCCACTTTGTTCAGCGAAGACAATCAGGAACACACTCTCGAGTGCCCCTGGAAGCTTCCAACACGAATGCTGACTCGCAAGAGTAAAGAACGCAGGTGACATGCTTTTGCATGCGAAAAACACAGGTGTACCGTACCTGTTTGACTCGATCAGCTGACCGACTGGTGCTATGTCACAGGAACCACCAACAGTGAGCTCCAACAGGAACAGAAAAGCAGGTCGAAATGCACTAGCTCCGAAAGAGGAGTCAGCTCCGATTCAAATCCTTGGGTCATGCAGCCACTTTGGTTCAGCGAAGCAGCTAACGAACACCCTTTCGAGTGCCCGCCAACCCTTCCAACACGAATGCTGACTCGTTAGAGCAAAGAACTACTACTGTCACAGGAACCACCAACAGTGAACCACCAACAGTAATTCTAACAGGAACAGAAAAGCAGGTCGAAATGCAACAGCTTGAGCCGTTGTCTTGACGGCGGAATTGGAGGCAGGGCTGGGATTTTGACTGGGACTGGGAGGCTTTGTTGCCGGCTTGTGATTGGTAGCATCGGCTCCACCAGAAGCATCTACCGGCTGGATCGAACGGAGGACTGCCTCGGTTGGCACGGGTGCTAAGACTGATTGTCCAAAGATGGAGTGAAGAGGAGCTTGCTTGGCGTTCCCAGGAGGATTTGAGTGTTCGGGAAGTGAAGCCGGGCCAGCCGTACCACACCGTAGGTTGCGTCGGTGAGTTGATCCGCGATTACATCGATCTGCTGGAGGCTCGTGACCGGGGCGAGGTCATGCATGCAATAGAAAGAGGCCGAAAACCATCTGTCGACATCCCTTGAAAATTAGTAAACTTTGGTTGCTGAATGTTGTAGGGCTTTGATCTCCGCTTGCGATACATAGCTCGCGATACGTAGCACGTGCCACAGCTCCAAAAGTGAACTCCAAGGATCAGCACTTCCCACATGTGATAGTGAACCGGCAGACGAACGCCCAAATGCATGCTGGGTTTGCTAGCGGACCGTAGTGGAGAGACACTTGGACTTGAATGAAACAGGCTTGCTTGGTTCTTCGGTATTGGCTGGTAGAATGCATGATAAAGCAGAATGGACCAAGAAAGAGGTTAGACTTGAGCTGAGAGCAAAATGAAGAGCAAAGCACCATTTTGCCGCATGCACTGCATGTCACTTTCCTCAGCGAAGCAGTTCACGAACACCCTTTCGAGTGCCCGTGGACCCTTCCAACACGAATGCTGGCTCGTTAGAGCAAAGAACTACTAATGACATGCCTGCATGCGTACTCGTGGACCGTACCTGTTGTGATGTGATGGTTGATGGTTGATGATGATGAGACTGGAACATGAAACGACACCATTGCCAACGATTACAGCACGAGGACGAACCACCCCAAAAGAGGAACCACCGCAAGATAACGCCTTCACCAGTGAATTGACGGGGACAAAGCCACCAAGTCGCATCCACAAGGCTCCCGAAGGAGCGGCTGCCGAAGCAGCACCGGAAAAAGGTATCATCGTCATGCATTTGTTGTCGAAGACTTGGAGAGGAAGAAGAGGACTTTGTTGTCGTTGTCGTTGTCGCGTTTGAGAATGAGAAAAAACCTTGCTTGATGCAACGGACGTTTCATGCATTCAGCATCGTCGTTTTATTTCAGCGACAACTTCAGCTTCAAATGAAACGACTCGACTCTCTCGTCGGTCGGTGAGAGGAAACATCGTCGTGAATGTTGGTCCAAAGGAAGGTCTCGGCAATCAAAACGAAAGAAACGTGGGCGACATAGCATCAGTACGGTACGGGAGATGATGGGTTGTTGCAAAAAAGGAAACGACTTCAAAAAGGTAACGTTCAAAATGCTTTGACGGGACTTCTAAAATTAATTAACAGCTCGCTGGCTAAAGTACGCACGATACAGCGTCAGAGGAAGGCAATATCTTTGGATCTTGGAGTGGGGTTCTTCGGTACAACTTGTACTGTATTGCCCCCGTCCAACTACAAGACTATTGACATTCTTGGGAACTTGACTCTTAAGGCTGCCAAGACTCCTAATATGTCTGAGCATTCTTATTGGCTGCTACAGCTTGAATGGTACGGTGTGGAGAATGAGGCAGCAGGTAGATTCGTTGGAGAAGGCAAATCAAAACCAATCTTTTCTTTCTACATACTCTAGTACATGTAGGTCGAGCCCTTGAACAGCTCTTGTTGTCTAGCTAGCTAGATACAACAATTCAGATTCCTTTCGGCTGGCCACTTTACTGGCACTGCGGCGATGTCCACCGGTGAGGCAACAATGCTTTTTACAAGTAAGTTGTCAAGAACCAAAAGAGATGCCTGATATTGCAGTTTTCGCAGAAAGCAAGTAAGTTGAACAGAAGGTTGCTTGCTCCAGGATGTCAATAGCCCGTGACCTTTTCGGTGGCATTCCAAAGGGCGTTAGGGATGGCAGCCAAACCGGCATTACGGCTCGATTGATGATAGCCTAGCAGCCATGTTGCAGGCAGCACAGCCACATGTTCCGTTAGACGTTGGTTGTCAAGGCAGAACAAGAAACACTACCGGAATCTATTTTGAGAAGGTGTCAAGAGCCAATTGACCATCAAAACTGCTGCCTTGACACCTACCAACGAAGGATGCAGCAGGCAGGAAGACACATGTGCAGCAGTTGTAGGTCGATCGATAGTAGTAGGGCCCTTCCAGCTACTTGCAACTCGCTAATCCGTGGGTTAGTAAAAGTTGGTTCTACCTAATATAAGGAAATGAAAGATGATGTTCTTTTAATTGAGCAGTTTTAATAGTACAGTGTAGTATGTAAAAGAAGTGTATCATGTAAAGGAGCGGTAGCTAGTAGTAGGACAGTAATCGATTGATGCAAGCAACGCTTATGCAGCTTGAGCAGTGGTTCCAAAGGGAAGAACGACTGCTTGAACACTGTGGAAAAAGCCATCGAATTGTGGGATGCTGTTGCGGTCGCCCGTATCTGCAACAAACATGATGGTGCTAAGCAAGTGTTCGTAGCACTGTCGGGCCTTGTCGCTGTCGCCAACGGTGAGCTGGACATGTCCCAAGTTGTTGGCAATGGCCATGGTCTCCATGACACCATTGTTCTTGGTATCCTGCATCATTGTGTAGGCAAGCTTGTAAAATGTCAATGCCTTTTGAAGGAGTCGCTTCATCTTTTGTTCGTTGCTGGAAGCATGCTCCATGGCAGCCAAATGGTAGCTGAGAGCGAGGTTGAAGAGAATGGAGGAGGAGAACTTGACCAACGAATGAAAGTCGTCTTGATCTTGAGCAGGAGATGCGCGGCACGAAAAGCTAGCCACAATGGCGCTCTTGAAGATAAAGGGGGAACCCTCTTCTTGTTGTTGGTCCACCTTCATGCTGCTGCTGTCTTCATCTTCATCATCATCGTCGTCGTCGTCTGGTTCGGCAAACTGAAAGATGAGCCTTGGTTCCTTGGTGGCGTATTCATCAGTCTCCATGATCAAGTTGCCGTTGGAATCTTGTTGGGAAAGGACAGTCTTGACAGTGGTAAGAGCACGAGAAAACTCTGTGATGGCTTCCAAGAAGCGGTTGGCTTCCAGGTGCTGAACACCTCGAAGGTTCATGTGAACGGCACTGTCAGCGCAGGGGTAAAAGGTAGTTGCACTCATGGTGAGGATGGCTGGCTGGTGTTTCTTTTTATAATTATTTGGGATTGAGAAAGAAGGCGGTTTTGAGGCTGCAAACTTGAAATTGTGAGAGAAAGATCTGGGTTTGGTTTCAAGGTTGTTGAAACTTGAAAGCCTTGTTGATTGCTAGCTAAAGCTTTGCTATTATAGCTAGCCTGTAGAGCTCAGGTAGCTCTACACAGTATTAGTAGTCTAGCCACAGCAACTTGTTACCTATCGTGTCTTTGGCAGCCAGAAGAACGCATGAATCCAGGTTCAATGTTCAAGGGGCTGCTTGGCAACGGCGAAGTAGCTCGGCATTTTTGTCTTGCCCGTATCCAGAAGGGTGACAGACATATGCCCCAAGAATTCAAAATCACATACGTGGCCAAAACAGAGGCAACAAAGTGGACACGTCAGCCAAATCAATTAGTTGGGGTTGCAGTTCAAGTGCTTTGGCTTTTCGATCCACTTCTTTGAGACGCTAAACTGTCACTGATAAAACATCACCTGTGCCCTCGTCTCATTTCAGAGACATTTCCTATAAACCACAGATTTAGAAGGTCACTGATATTTATCAGTGCCATGGCATTGTGTCGTAAACTTGTCTCAGCTGGTTTCGAAAGGCTATGGCCGAGGGCTGTTGGCGTTGATAGACTTTCTGTTTGAACCGTTCAAGCTTGTCTACAGCCCAACGAGCCAGTGGCAATTGCATACATGCAGCGGTTATGCTGCGTGGTATGTTACTAGCTCTACGGTAGCTACTATTTAATAGTAGCCGCACCAATGCATAATATTCATAATCAGGCATGTAGCCACTACCGGTACCGTTCCAATAGTTAGGTATCCGGTAGCTATGGCCTCAATCCTGCCGGATGTTGAAACGCAGTTTGTCTAGCACTATAAATTGTTTCAGTGTGAGTGGACAGGCAATTGGTGTCTCCTCTCTCTTTCCTGCCTGGAGATCCCCATAACTCAGCCTCCAAAGAAACCTCAACAGTTTTGGATGATTCGATTTATTTCAGAAGCCAAACGATTGCCCCATGGTTTTTGCTTACATCTTGATTGGCTTCTTGAATGGACAGACCTCGCGGCAAGACTTGGAGGGTGCTTTCTGGCAAGTTCTTGAGATCCAGCCAGTTGTCAAGGACGCAGCGCCAATGCAATGGCCTCGTTAAAAGTGCATCAACTATAAGAATCCAACCCACTCGCCTAGAGTTCATTGGTCCAACTTTCGGATGCAGTGCTTCTGCTTCAAGTCCAACAAGCGCAACGTAAGCATGCAACTCTCACAGGCATCTCCTCATCTAACAAAGCCGGGCCGTACCATGCCAACTACTGGCCACACTGACTATTGACGTCGAATGATACAGCTGCTTATTATCAACAAACTTCAACGAGCTAGTAGTAGCCACATATTGTGCATGGCTTCGCTTCAATTTGCAACTGGACAGAAACTGCTCAAAATCTCTCTGGCTGCGGGCTAGCCAGCCAGCTAGCCAGCCAACCACAGCTCGGACAATAATACATGTAGTGTCAGGATGAAGCAAGAACAGCAGCAACTCTCATCAAGCACAACCAGCCTCTAACAGTTTCGGTACGGTATTGGTCCCCCTCCTGACCCGACCGTGACAAGATAGATAATCACGTCATGGTTGAGGAGCTGATGACTGCGAGCGGGCAGCTGTTCCAGAAAACACTGCTTTTGAATGGTAGATGAGGAAAATATAGCGTTAGAGATAAATACTCCTCTGGTTATTTATGATAACAATTTGCCGCAACTACCAGCACTCCAAAGCTGTCTTCCAGCGTTGGCAAGTGCTTTTGGAGTGCACCGGGGCTACCGTACAAGCAAACTGCAAGAAAGCTGTGTTGGAGCTGTTCATAGCAAGATCTTTGTGAGAGCGGTCCAGTTTGCTGCCTCCCATAGCTAGAGTATCGCAGAAGCAAGAATCTTGGTGGTTTCAGCGCTGCTCGGGGCTACAAGCAAAGAAGTGCAAGAAAGCAATTTTGGAGCTGTTCATAGCAAGATCTCTGTGAAAGCAGCGGTCCAGTTTGCTGGCTACTGTAGCTAGAGTAATGTAGAAGCAAGAATCTTGGTGGTTTCAGCACTGCTTCAACAGCCCAACAGAAAGCGTGGCTAGTACCCTGGCTGCTAGCGAGCTCCCAGCCAGCCGACTAGGCTATGACTTGGGAAGACTTTCTTGGGGGCGGTGCCTAGTAGCTACTAGTAGAATCATTTCAGCAATATGGAGCGGTCGCCATCACTGGAATGCTGCTTCCCTAGTAGAGATAGTACAGTGCTGGCTGGGGGCGAGGAAAGAGGCATACTAGAAGAGACAACAGGACCTTCACGGATTATGATAATGAAAACATTAATTAAGCGCATGTAGCAGCTAGCTAGCTGTAGCTTGAATCCCGGCCACATTCTACCTGAGCCTTGACCTAGCTGTCCAGCCAGTTTGCTATTGTGATGGCAGCCAGATCATGCTGCATGGGCCGACTTTAGGTTGTCCCTGAGAATCACGGACTGGATGTTGCGGAAGAACAGATCAAAATGGAGCTGTGATACTTCTGGCTCCTCTCTGGACATGGCTAGCATCGCAAGTTGGAGCAAGCTTTGGAAACACTGCTTGGCCTTTTCAGGTTCCCCCAGCGCTTGTAGGACGATGCCCAGGTTGTTTAGAATCGCCATTTGCTGCAGCAAAGTGCAACCACCGCTGGCCTGGCCGTCGCTGACGACCATTGTATATGCCATCTGGTAGAACTTGAGAGCCTTTTCCAGGTGCTTCCGAGCTGGTTCACCCATGTCTTCTTGCTTCTGCACGGCAAGCAATTGAAAGGCAAGCCCCAGATTGTACACCAACGCGTTGGTGAACCTTGCCAGTGATGTAAAGCCACAGACCGCCGCGGAAGGGTCATGGCTTACCGAGATGGGACGGTCAAAGATCGTCGATGCCCTGAAAGAACCAAAATCTCGTGGGATTGTGGTCTTGTCATCGACGCCGGCTTCCTCCTCTGTGAATCCGAAACGAAGATGGTCTCCATTGTCAAGACAAGTGATGGAAGTCTTGTCGGAGGTATCATCGGCTATCTCTCGTTTAACCTCCTTTAGAGAGCGAGTGAGCAACCTGATTGCATTGGAGAACTTGCCAACACTCATCATGTTCACGGCTTGTTGGTTCAATGCCAAAGCGAGAGAGGTCGTTTGAGGTAACATGGTTCCAGATTTCAACTGCTGTAGCAAACTCTGTGTAGTGCTTGAAAGAATGAGATTTGTGAGACTTCCACTCTAGCTACCAGGTAGATGTAAATCCAAGCACAACTTTGGATGTAACGATCTTGGCAAAACTGGTTCAACTGGTATGGTGGTGGTACCGTATCTCAGACTGGGATATCTATATTTCTGTATTTCTGTGATTTAGGATTTTTGAAGTGGCCTAACAGCTCTAAAACACTTATTAAACACAGATCCCGAAGCCAAGAGAACAGAGGATTTCTGAAACCTTGACCTTTACTTTCTTGCATCGTCCTAATAATGCAGTTGACGAAGACACGCTACGTCTTTAACGTTTGGCCTAAAATGGTTGGTACGGAAAGTTGAAGGGGCAATATGGTCACCTTTGCGGGGGTGACCTAGAAAAACGGGAAAACTACTGCCATCCTCGCCGAGCCGGAAGGCCGAAGTGGGAATCCGCTGCTACCGGTAGCTAGTACTCCAGTACTGAGTAGCTTACTGAGTAGCTAGCTAGCTTCGAGCCAGACCGATCTGTTGTAGGAGATCCTCCACTCATTGTCTGCTGGATTGCCTGGTGGACTCGTCCCAGTTGCCGCCGCGGCTACAAGTTGATGGCTACACGTTGAAAGCTGCCATAGCTGGATAAAGCCATCAGTGCATGGGAGGCGTCTTGAGAATTGAGAAGGGAGCTACGGTACCATTCAGCCAGGTTCAAACTGAGGGCACACCTTCGTATCGCTCGGTTAGCTAAGTCAACAGGTCTTGCCCCCAGACACGCTCTCGCAACAAATTGTTTGGTGGCGAAAGAAGGTGCGGCAGGATGGGAGAACATCCACCTGGTACGGTACCGGTAGCTACGGTATAGTAGCAATTTTCTGGTGTGTGGCTGAGCCACTGAGATCTTGGCCCCTGGCTGGTTGCTACTCTGGCTGGGCAACTTTTCTCCTACTATGTAGCCTAGCTGCGGTATCGGCAGTCCGTACATCACCTAGCGAGAAGCTACACAGCTATTAGCCACATAGACTCTAGCTAGCTAGCTAGGTAGCTCGAGAGTCCGACGCTGGGTACATTTACCGTACCGGCAAACTAAAAGAGGACCTATCATGGTTTACGGAAACAAGTTTCAAGGGGAGATTCTGACTTCTGACTTCGCGCTGCCTCTGTTGCTGCTGTACCTGATCTTGGAGCTGATGTTGTATTGAGTCTCGGAGCTGGAGTGATGGTGAGAGCTCTAAAATGTTTTAATGAAAAGCACTTTGAGTAAGAAGTACAGTACGAGCGAGTGGTCCATCCGGCCGTAAATTGATCAGCCACAAAACTACACGACATGTAGCTATCTACACTCTGCTGAGTACGCCGTACACACACGCCTGGTTGGAGCTGTTACTCTGGGGTCTGGGGCAGGAGAAGGTTAGTCAAGGTTATTGTTGCCGAGCCAGGTGCACGACATCCTTGGTTGCGATCGCTGAGGATCTACCTAAATAAATTGATAGCTAATTGATCTAGCCAGTTGCGGGTAGCTTGGGGGATGCACCATCCTATTGGCTTTACTTGTTCGAGTTCGGGTACAGGGGTTTTAGAGCAGTAGGGAAGTTATCAAGTTATCCACGGTACTAGCTAGAGTACTGATTTGTCGCAAGTTGTTACTATTAAATCGTTGGTGGCTGGTCTCTAGAAAAGGAAGGACGCCTCGAAACATGGTAACAGCTTGTTGCCGATGCCTCCAGTAGTTCTTGGTTCTTTGCAAGCAAAGCAACAAGAGTGCAAGAGTAGCTGCAGTAGCACTGCTAATACATACATAGCGACATGTAAAGCCAATGCAGAGTGAAGAGGAAACTGTGTTTGATTGATCATTGGCAACAAAACTGGTTGTTTCTGGGCTTCTGAGGATTCGATTCGATTCGATTCAAGTGAAGGCTTTAGAAAAGTGATGGGTTCCGGTTAGCGGCACAGTGGACGGTGCACAAGTCGTGCTCATAACTCAGTCTCAGAGTAGCCTCAAAATAGAATTCTTTTGATCACATCCCACAAAGAACCTCCAGACATACTAGATCTAGATACAGGCTGCCGACAGGATGTCATGACCAATGGAGCTACCAGGTACCAAGGGTGATGGGTTCCAGTTATCCCACATCGCACAAAGAACCGGCAGAGAAAAACAGATACGGGCCAACAGCCGACAGGGGCAGGGTGAAGCTTAGCAGGGTGGCAAGACCAAGGGTTTCACAGGGGCAGGGGCACTAAAGCAAAAACTGTTGTATAGCTGGCTTCTTCTTGCTTCTCCCCATCCATGGCAAGCTGTTTGAGTAGTACACGGAGAAGCTCATGGAGATCGCTCGGGCAGCCATCACGGTTGCTGATGGCTGATGGTCTTGACCAGACTGATATTCTGTACCGGCATCCCTTTAATCCCTTTGCTCCTTCCTTCCCGTACTGTACCATATCCATCAGAGAACTGAGAAGGCAATCGATACTTGAGCTCCTGGTGTTGCTGGTAAGGCAAGAAACGACTGCTACTATCGGTAGCTAGAGAGTAGTAGACTGGTGATCTAAATTCTAAATTCTGTGAAGTTGCTGATTTGCGACCCCAAAACCACCACTTGGCTGTGCTGGTACAGGTACAGGTACAGGTACAGGTACTGCACTTAGCTGTACAACTAGACTACTACCTCGGCTCCAAGTTGCCTGCCTGGATGGCGATTCCTTGCTGCTATGGCGTCGATGCCTGATCGATCCGCACAGTCGGTTTGGTGAAAGAAGCAACCGTTGCCAGCCACTGGCTGTAGTAGGTAGTCTAAGTTTTTAAAGAGGATTTGCTTCTCTGAAGTTCCTGATAAACCAGCCAGCACTTGGCTGTGCTGGTACAGCTGCTGGTACCGTACTGCACATCTGATCTCATCTCAGCTCCTATGTGCCTTCCTCTATCCTGCCTGGGTAGAGATTCGATTCATTCCGCATCACTGCTATGGCGTCAATGCGCTCCGGATCTATAATTGTGAGCAAGCTGTTGTTTCCGGCTGCCTTTGTTTATTCGCGGTAATGAACCCAGTCGTGCCTTTGACGTAGTTTTTATTCGCGCGAAAAGCGGGAGATGGCCAGACCATTCCCTCCAACGCCAACCCTTTGGTGTCGCCGTTTTGACATGCCAAACAAACTAACTGTCTAGATCCAATTTCTGTCCAAGTTGGACTTGTATTCTTCTTCAGCTACCACCGGTGCGGTATCCTTCTGGTTAGATAGTATTGACAATGGGCTACGGCTCGAATGGCAACAGTTACCAAGGGTATCAAGGCGGAAGTGGCGTGCACCACAACAGTGCTAATCGAAGTCGTCGAAGAGACTATGAAGAACTCAGCAATGGCACTAACAGCAATAATCGGATGCAATCGATGGAAGTCTTGAGTGGTCGCGAATATGGCCTGGAATTTGACAGCAGTGATGGTCCCCAAAACTTGAAGCATCGAGCCACTCTGTACTGTCTCGTGGGATTCTTGATTTTGATTGTGCTGACGGCTCCTCATCGTGATCATGGTGGTGAAACGTCCAATTTCAAGTTTCCCAAAAATAGTAGCAACAGGACCAATGCTACTGTTACTAGTACTACTACTACGACACAAGCACCCACCAGCCCGTCCTCCGAATCCAAGGTGACCACCAGTAGTGAACCTGCCCTAACTGCACAGACCAACAACAGCTCCAATGCTACCCTTACTCGTCATACCAGACCGGCATATGCCGACCAATGCCATCTACCTGCATCCTTTCAAATAACATTACCCAACAATTTCACCTTTTTGAATGATACCAATTTTTGCTTGAATCAGGTAGGTCAACAAATAAACAGCCAAAATTCGGAATCTTCGCGTACTTACGATACCCTTATCTGTGATTTTATTCCTTTTGCCAACCATATTGTTGTACGAAAAAAGACTACCAATGACATTGACAACCAATCAACCTGCACATGCAAAGATCCCGTAACACCAGCCAAACCCGACTATGCTCCTGTGGATTGGCCTCGTGCCATGCAAATGAATGTGGAACTCGTGCAAAAGGCCATTGCCTCGTCCGTGGATGTCGTCTTTGTGGGAGATTCCATTACCGAACATTGGAATGGCAGGGACATGGCCGAATTTCGACCCAAAGATCACAATGTATCCATTGTATTTGAACAATTATTTTCCAAAGCCACCAATGCCAGTAATCCACAAGGATTGGCATTGGGAATTGCCGGTGATCGAGTAAGTCAAACAATACCATATGCAACACAACATTATACACTCATGTCAAGTATTTGCACACTAACATCTCTTGCTCTTCGTTCCAGTGTCAAAATCTCTTGTACCGTCTCCAAAATGGCGAAATGCCCGCCACATTACAACCCAAAATTTGGTGGATCTTGATTGGAACCAACGATTTGGGAAGTGATCACTGCAATGCCAATGCCATTACAGCAGGAACGATTCGGATTGTCGAAGAACTCCAACAACATTCACCCAATGCCACCATTGTCATTAATTCCATTTTACCACGCGGAGGGAGTAATCATTCATCGCAAGAACTCTTGCATATCAGCCAAACATGGCCCATTATGCAAACCATCAATCAACGGTTGGAATGTTACGCCAATCAAACATCAACTTTTGTCCAATTCTTTAATGCGACGGATCTGTTCGTGTACACCCAAGACGATGACGATGCCAACTATGGACGAGAAGTCTACATTAACCAAACACTCATGAACGATTACTTGCATCCGTCCGGTGAAGGAGCATTGAAATGGGGGCGCGCCATGGTCGACAAGATTCGGCAACTACTTGGTGGTTGAAGCGGCACGATTTGATATCATTCATTCCAATCTCGGCGTTTGTTTCCTGCGAAAAAGAGTTCGAGTGCAACTGCGCCGGTGGCTGCTATAAAAACATCTCTCAATAATCCAACTACAGTTTTGCTACACTCTAGACCGAATCGAATCGAATCGAATTTGAATCCCCACGCCAGTAACCTTTGAAACGGGAGACGTCGTGTGACGAGACTATCGCCTCAGGCTTGTAGATGGTTGGCCTCGACTGGTACCAGTAGTCAAGGCTGGTTTGTTTGATCGGGACTTGCGTACATATTATTTGCTAGCAAAAGTACAGTACAGTACCTACTCCAACAAAGGACCCGTCAAAGTGCAAGTTCGGGCGGACATACGGATTAGACTTTTGGATTTTAGGGCCCCAATTCTAAAATTATCAGAAATTGATTTCAAATTGAGTCCCTTGAAAGTGAAGTGCGTCGGCGCGCGCCGGCGCGCGTCGGCGCGCGCCGTGACATGCGTCACTTTCGTGGGACTCAATTTGAAATCAAATTCTGATAATTTTAGAATTGAAAAAGTTACTACCGGTACTCATCAGAACGTAAAGTAGACTACCGGTACGTGCCAGCATACCGCTACAAAATCGGCATTATTGAAACAGCGCAAGTTATGGCAAAATAATGTACAAAAAAAGACTAATAATAATAACACAGCTACCGTCCCCCCCTTTGTATTTCACACCAGTGGGCTGGTTTTAACCTTTAAAAAATCAAAATAGGTCATCCAAATTGGGACAGTTTTTTAAAATTGAAGAACTGTCTCGAAAGTGTCGTTTGGGGTGCAAATAAAATTGACTCCACTGTCCATCCTCCCTCTCAAACGCGAACTGACTGACAATGATGAGTGCTACTTGTGAAACATCAATCACTTGTGTAGCACAAGGAAGCAAGGATCGACAGTCTGGTTCAAAGCCGAACCGAGACATAGATCAATCGGACGACTAGCGAATCGTTGAATCGACCACATCTTGTACTCGTAGTGAGATCTCCGCTTCGGCCAAGTTCGCTACGTCGTACCGGGTCTGATTTGCCGGTTTGTGTGGACTGCTGGAGTGTTAGATTCGATTCGATTCAAGCGGGAGAGCAATCCGCCCAAAACCTTTTCTGCCTGTTTGGAAGACAGCTGGACACTTCAGACTCCCATTGTGGTGCGCTGCCTTCATCACCGTACGGTCATCAGGTCACCCTTCACCCTTTCGGCGCATTTCCAACAAGCGTCGGTCTATCTATCGGCAGTTGCGTGTTCTACTCTCATTTATTTGCCCAACCTCCTGCCTATACGGTGGCATCTCTCTCGAAAGTCAATGAAGGACTGCTCTGAGTTGCCGGAATTGAAATCTTTGCACTCACGACTTCTCCATCTAAAATTCAATGGCCAAGATGATGCGTCGAAGCTTCATTCATGCACGGTTTGGCGTCATTGGTGCCCTGCACAAATCGGTTTCATCAGACTATTTGCATCTTGGGCAGTTCCAAACTCATCCAATATTCTTCCACGACAACATCTTCGAGAGGTGACGCATTATCGTCATTGTCGTTGAGAGACCTTTCGCCATTGCCAGCGTTACTGACTTTTTCTCCCTCAACCATGACCATGGACCCTTCCGACGAATGCCTAGATATCATTGCGGGAGTATTGTCGGGTTCGGCAGTATTTGTAGTGGTCTCGTCCAGTTGTTGTTGCTGTTGTGTTGATGTTGATGTTGTTGCCTTTACCACCCGTCCAAATGCAAACCGATTCAGCAGCATCAAGACAGCGCACACGTACATGACCACGGCCCGGTTCATGTCCTTGAAAACGCTGGAATATAAGATGCCCCCCAACAAGTCCCCTACTGCAGTCGTTAGCAAGTAGGTTGCCATTATAAAACCTTTGAGTCTGTCGGGTGACCTGGAGTAGGCGTACTATAAAGTAGAAGAAACCAAAAGTAGTTACAATCCATATGAGTGAGAAGAAAAAAGGCGGTGGGCAGAAGACGAAGCACTAGACAAGTGGCTACTGCTGCTGTGAGGAATGAGCCGAATCGAATCAAAAACTCACCTCCAACCCAGTCACCGACAAGAAGATTTCCCCCACGGCCATGATGGTGATTTGTGGTACCTGCCACAGAACGTGAACGGATTGGCTGCCGCTGCTGCTGAATTCAATGACGTGCTCCAGCAGACCACTGACGAGGAACGACACGGCTGCCAACACCATACCCCATCCCATTCGTATCAGGGGAGATATATTCCAGTGAAGCCGATCTTCCAAAAAGGGATAAATGATGCGATCAAAGAGTGGTATAAAGATCATGATTTCGATCGGATTCAACATTTGTAGTTGTTCCGGTTCGAGTCCATGCAAAGCCATGCGACTGGCTTGCAGTGTCCATACCGATCCTTGTTGATCGTAGAGCATCCAAAACATGGGTAACATGGCCATAATGGGCAGGATTTGTAGCGCTTGATGAGCATCTTCCAGTGCCATTTCGTGCCGTGCCCACGAAGAAGATTGATGTTTGTTCGAAGCAGTAGAGGAGGAGGGATTCTTCTGGGACGAAGCATTGTCGGGTTCCTCGTCCTGAAAGACGTCTCGGCTTGCACTGCTGCTATCGTCATTGGGTGACGTTTCTGCCGCTGCTGTTTCCGTTGGATCGGATTGTCGTGTTTGTGCATAGTCATCCTCCTCGTCGTCGTCCTGTTGTCGGAGCAATTCGTGACGTGGTCCTCGTGCATCGATCCTCCAAGAAGAAGTCGCTGTTGTTGTTCTGACGGTTGTTGTCACCAAAGTCTCTAGCCACACACTCATTCTTTGGCGCAATAGTTGCAACAAGATTGAAAACGTGGTGGCCAACGAATGATGCTTCTGCGAATCTTCATCTCGATATACGTATTCCTTTCGTTTGGAATAGAATAGTGAAATGGCAAAGACCATAAACAAGGTAGGCAGTAGGAATGCCGCACCAAAGCCAAAGTAATGTTTGACGATTGGAATGGTGAGGTACGAAGTGGTCGCTCCTACGTTGATGCAAAAGTAGAAAAAGTTGTAGAATTCTCGGACCGCGTGGTCATCATCTTGTGGTTGTGGTTCTGTTTGATTGCCCTCCATGATCCTGTGAGTTGTTGTGCCTTGCTGTGGAGTATCATCCGTATCACTGGTACGCAAGGATGCAACTTGATCGGCACCAAAAATGTTGACACACGGTTTCAAGCCCCCCGTCCCGGTAGCGACCATGACAAGTCCCACGACGGTAAGTATTCGTTTCCAAAACATATCTCGCAAACTCTCTTCAACTCCATGCGATCGATAGGGGTCGTCTTGTTGTTGTCCCAACCACGCCGCCACGGTGAGAATGAAAAGTCCCACACCATACAGGATACCAAAGCGCAAAATGACGGCAAATCGTCCCCACCGTTCCGCCAACAGGGCGCCCAGCAGTGGTGAAAAGTAGGCGACACACGCCGTGTAGGAAAAGTAGGAAATGGCCGTGGATTCGTCCAAATAGAGACATTCGGTAAAGTAGAGGACCAGCACGGCCCGGAATCCAAAATAGGCAAATCGTTCCGCCGTTTCCATCAACAAAATGCAAGAGACCACGGGAGTACACAAATGATGAGGCGGGAACAGGTCATCATGCCAGCCTTGCTGCTTGTTCATGTTGCCATTGGATATCCTCTTCAAGACATCATTGGCACCAATAGTAGTGCTGTTGGAAAACAAACGGGAAGTTTCTTCCTTTGTCTCAAAATCTTCATCATCTTCTACTAGGGAAGATGGTTGCAGTTGTAATAATGAGTTGCTGTTTGACACGAGCTCAATCTCATCATCCTCTTGCCTGTCTTGCATAGTATATTTGTTCTTCGAACAAGCAAGCACAAACACAAGCTACAACAAGTGGTGTACATGAAGTGGGGCATGGGGTATCTTCCTCAACGACGTCTGAACTATTGAAGGAAGGAATCCAGGGACAAACAATCGATTGATTGATTGAACAACTAACTAACTGCCACCCGTGCTATCAATGCTTTGCTCTTGCTTTGCTGCACTTACTTATTTGGAAGACAGAAGGTAGACTAGCTAGACTACGATAGCAAAGATGAAAAAATGAATGGAAGAGGTCAACAAGGATCCAGTCATCATCCGAGTCAGAAAGCTGCCGATAAAACTTCGGATTTTTTACGGTATCCAGATTAGGTGAGCGTCCAGTGATTAAGATTTCTTATTTTCACAGAGTTTTTACGGTACCGAAAGGTGGAAGATTCGAAAAGGAAGTGTGAGGGTTTATCGCAGCCAACGTGAAGCTATTAGTATCTTGAAGAAATCGCTTTTCTCGATCTTGAACCTTTCTTGCGAACTGTACTGGCCCATGCTACAGCCCTGAACATATATCTAATGACCTCACCCTTGCAACCTTTATCAATAATGGGGGCTACTAGTGGTAGCTCTACAAGTAGTACTGGTACTGTACCCCAACCAAAGGAGACGCGGTTCCGGGCTGAGTACTGTACAACTCCCAGCCCGGGCCCTCTCACATGCATGGCATCATTTCCATGCGCAGCCACCTAGCCATTCAAAACACAGCAACAACTAATAAAGGAGTGAGTCTCTCAGTCGAGTAAATGAGGCAAACTAGCTACATTAGACTAGTGGGTGGCAAACTATCAAGCCACAAGCTACAAAAGCTACAAAAGCTGCTACCGGTACCGTACCCTTGCTTGAGAGAGAAATCAAACCCTCGCATCCCACAACAACTCCACAACCCACCACCACAAGCTCCGCCACATCATCATTCATTATTTATTCTTTAATGTTTCTACCGGTAAGCACTTTTACGAGATGCAGTTGGTTGATGAAGGTCATCGGAACCAAAGCAGCGACAGCATGGTACTGCCCACGTGCAATTGATCTTGCAAGAACCATTGCATGATCGACATCGTTCGCTTCTTCAGCAATCCTTGCACGTCACCGGTACCAACAATGACTTTTTCAATGTCACATTGACCAAAAAGACTGCTTGGCTAAACTCAATCTGTCCCAAGAAGCTCCCCTCGTTAAATCCTCGTTTCTACACTGTGATCTTTTTTGTATTTAAATCCGTGCTGCTGTAGCCTAATGAAGCTGTCCATTCGCAACCACCGAGCTACCACCGTCAATGGCTCGGGCTCCCTACGGTGCTCGAAGCCTCGATCTCTTGCCACAATGCAGCCTCGCCTCGTGGTTTGGCAAAAGTTCTCGAAGGCTGTGCTGGTTATTATCGATCTCCACCTCGATCTCTCGTTATCGGTAGACATCTAACTAGCTCTAGCTAGCTATTGCTATTCTCTTTCCCACCGTTCAACAGCAAGATGATGAAACGATTCGCCTATGTGCTGCTGCTTTTGGTGTTGGCAGTGGCCGCCGCAGAAGGTGCCGGTACTACGTTTGATATCATTAGCACAGCAGAAACCAACTTAGAAGACTCTCCGTCCTCCAGCCCAACAGTCATACAATCTTCCGATGACTGGGTATTTCCATCCACAATTTCCTTACGAGCCGGCGTCTTGTTGGCTCCTCCCTTTGCCTCTCAGTCCGAAGATGGTGAATTCGGTGGCTTTCAAATCGATCTGCTGAGGAGAATGCAGATCTTTGCCAAGGAGAATGATAATATCACTTTTGATGTGACTTTAGACCTGAGCCCTCCTCAATACGGTGCTGCATTTGATTTGGTGGCCACTGATTGTGTGGACCTTGCCAGCAATACCACTCATTCCGCCGAAGATTGCGACAAATTCGATATTATCATTGCCAATTACTACGCCACGGCTTCCCGGCATTTGCGAGCTCATCTATCTCCTACGGTTCTTCAATCCTCCATTTCCGCCATCAAATACGTAGACAAGACAGGACCAGATTACACAACCCTCTCCCAAGCCCAAGCTGCCCAAGCTCCCATCTGCCTCAAAGACGGGACATTCTATGCTAGAGTCGTCCGAGAAAAGTTCCCTTCAGCTGCCTATTACAGTTGCCCCAGTCATGAAGAGTGTATCCAATCGCTCAAAGAAGAAAAGTGTGTTCTCACCTGTGACGATGAACTCCAATTACACTATGCAGCGGCCTGGGATCCTTCCCTGGAAGTCACGGGCGAACGGTTCAATACACAAGTAAGTCAAAAACTATGTGTCTCTTGCCACCACCACCACCACACCCCTCACATAATCTCTTTTTCTACATTTCCCAGAATATAGTATGGGCATACTCCCGGGCATTGCCACAAACCACGCTTACGTTGCTGGATATGTGGATGCGAGATGCAATTACTAATGCCACCACGGATGAGCTCTTTTCCACGTATTTCCAAAAGGCACTCTGCCCCATCGGAACTGCAGGAGAGCAGTGCGAACTACCTTGTGACCCGGACCATGGCCACAGTAATGCAAGAGGCGTCTGCATTTGCGAGTCAAGCAAATGGACTGGTGATGACTGTTCCATTGAGGTCCCCGAGAATGTCAACTCGCTGTCAAGTGGCATGGTCTGGGCTGCCTATATCATGTTCATCCTGAATGTTTTCACGATCATGCTTTGTGCAGTGTGGCTGTACTGGAAACGCACAACTCCCCAAGTGCTGGTTAGCCAACCCTCATTCTTGTGTTTGGTTTTGGCAGGCTGCTTGATTAGCAGCAGTACCATTCTTGCAATGGCACAAGAAGACACAGGAGAAGGACCGGTACCTGCTTGCATGGCAATTCCATGGCTGTACAGTGTTGGGTGTAAGTTGGACAGCCCACTTTGTGATACAGTGGATTGACCATCTCATCTTATCTCATCATCTTATTGAATGATCAACTTTCAGTTTGCATCACCTTTGGGACACTCTTTGCAAAGATCCGCCGGTACGTTGTTTGGGGCCAATCATGGGCAGTAGAAAAGTTCAAACAATGCCTCATTTTTGATCCCTTGTTGTCATTTGAAACAGTGTATTCTTCATCTTCAGGAATGCTACCAGTACCTTTGGCAATAAACACTTGGTTAGTGTGTGGGAAACACTGGCTGTCATTGGGGCTGTCCTAGCAGTGGATGTATTCATTTTGATTCTCTGGACAGCACTAGATCCCTTGCAATGGCAGCGAGAAGTCCTTACCGAAGATATCTTTGGAGTACCTTTAGAAAGCATTGGATATTGCACTGCAGAACACTGGGCGATTTGGGCAGGTCTTATTGCCACATTGCATTTGCTGCTCATGGCAGTAGCATGCTTTATGTGCTATGCAGCACGAAACATCCCCACAAGGTTTGCTGAAGGTGAGTGCTTTGTTCGAGTCAGAGATGAAACTTATTTATTGATGTGGTCGATGTGTCTTATCAGGTATGATGGATTCTGTTGTGCAGGCAAATACATTTCCATAGCAATGATATCAAATTTACAAATCTTTGTGGTGGGTGTGCCAATTCTTGTGATCATTGGAGCGGATCCTCAGACAGGGTTCTTTGTTCGAAGGTATGAAAGTCTTCTGTTCTGGTCTGGTCTGGTAATTTGGCTCTGGGAATACTGGCTGACATTGCATGAATGGTTGTTCCTTTTGATCAGTGTAATCATCTGGATGAATGACTTTGTGGTTGTCACATTGATGTAAGTGTTGTTTGCTCACAAGGAAAACAACTAAATCAGGATGACACCATCATGCTAATACTTTCAATTTTGTTGTTGTTCAGTTTCGGGAATTTGATCTACTCTGTTCACTTTCAGCCCAACAAACAGAGAGGTAGTGATCCAAATTCTGTTCGTGATGTGGTTGGAAGTGCTATTCAGCAGTATCGATCCAATGTTCTGAGAGATACAAAGGCGTCTTGGATGGGATCATCAGGGATCGACGGGTCTGAACACGCTGGGCAAGCCAGGGCGCAACAGAGTCCTGATATCAAAGATATCAAAGAACACGGTGAAAACAGTGAAAGCAGTGACCAAGATTACGTAGACGAGGAAGACCAGGCAGATCTGGCACCAATGAGGTCCTTTGCAAGTGGCAGAACATCCATCGATCCACTGGGAGATGACAAGAACTCCTGGGGAATGAATACACTTTCCATGATGTTGCCTTGCGATGGTGATGAATCCGAAGGTGAGGAGGGCCGTCAAGGATATGTAGCACCTTCTCAAAAGCCGGTTGATGTCTTAAAGGACAAAACCTCCTGGGGAGCAGGGTCTCTGTCCACGTTTGTTTCGGATTGAAAACAAGGGCACCCATACATATACAGTCGTACTACTAGAAGCTGGATAAAGGCAGCGTTTTTGAAAACCTTTTATGTTTGATGTATTACTCGTTTGCCTGGCCCCTAAACGGCTTGGACATGTAGTATAGACCAACCGCCCAATAAGCCCAGGCTGACCCCCACTGCGAATTTCCAAGTTCGTTTGCGGATTTCGACCATGGTTCAAAGAAGCCATGACCATACGGTAGAAAGGAACCAGTACGACTGTACGACTTTCCAAACGTACAAGAGCGCCAAACGAAACCCTAGCTACTTGGTACTTTCCCCACCGCAGGACCGATACTAAGTAGCACAAAACGCATATGCCGGCAACCCCTTAGATGGCGCGTCGTGCGTCAACTACACTTTGGCTCTTTAGCCATGATCGAGGAAGCAGCAACCTGGTATCGAAGAAGTAAGTGTGGTGGAAGCACGAATGTACGAGCATCCATCACGGTCCCAAGCGCAAGAAGGTGGAAGGCACGAGTGTCGTGTCCAGGTGTTCAGGTGCCGTAAGGCCCTCAGGTTGGGCTTCGCCTCCCTTCGAGCTTCGAGGGACGGTCTTGCGAGCAAGTAAGTGAGTCAATTACGGAGTGCTAAAGTGCGTTTTCCTCGATTCAATCATTCGATTCGATTCGATTCGATTCGATTCGATTCATTCCAGTGCAGTGCAGGCACGGGTACCGGTACATGTGGTTTCACATGACCGAGAATGACTACATGCACAACGTGTCTTCATCAACGCCCACGTCAGCGGAGGAACCTAAGAAGATGGATTTCGTCTCCTGGAGACGATTTGCTTTAGGGGTAATGGTACCGATGGGGGCAGAGGTTTGAATTATACCCGGCGCGCATTACTTAGAAGGCCCTGTAGAAGTCTACGTATTCGACTAGTCTATTGTATTGACGGGATAAGTCAACGCATGTACATGCACATGAAAGTCGCCTTGCGTTCTTACCAATTTTAAAAGTTGGCTCTAATTTTTCGGGGTCGCCATGTGATTTGATTGGACGCTTGATCTTTTTTTTTTTTTCCCAATGACATTGACATTGAATGACGTACAGTGCAATGCGAATCTAAAAAGGTAGTTGTAGTAAATAAGTTTTTATATACAGACTCAATTTACCCTATATCCCTACCGTTCATACTTATAACAAGAAACCGTCTTCTCGCTGGAACATTCATCGTATTTATCTTCTCCTAGGACAGAACGCCCAAAGTATCCTTAAACTTGCAAATGCTCCATTCGTTCTCCATCTTCGTTAGTCGCGCACTGGCAAAACGGGTTTCCTTGGGATCCCAAATCCCACGCCTTCTCTCAATAACGAACACAACCACATCATAGGTTCGCGCA